TAATTGCAGTACTTGTAAATAATCCTAAACTTCTAGTTTTCTTTTCTACTTTTTCAATTCATTTATATCCTATAAAAATAATTTATATTATTAATTTATCAATAAATTTCCAACTATGTTGTATTAGAAATGTCATTTTAAGATGATTATAATTAGTTCAAATAAGTAATTTGTATACATGTGATACTTACTCAATTACTTCAGTTTTTATTAAGATAATCAAGTTATATAAACACATTTACTTGATTATCTTTATTAAGACTAAAGAAAATATTTAAGGAAAGATTCTTTAAGTTATATGCATCTGTTACTTAATCAATGACTTCAGTTTTTATTAAGATAATCAAGTATTTATATACCAATACATGATTATCTTTATAAAAACTGAAATTATTGAAACAAGGAAAGATTTTTTATGTTATATCTGTTACTTAATCAATGACTTCAGTTTTTATTAAGATAATCAAGTATATATATACACAATTACTTGATTATATTTATGAAAACTGAAGTCTTTGATTGTAAATTTATATGGATTATGTAAAAAAGTACAAAGAAAGAAAATCCAAGTAGAAATATAAACAGTTAAGAAAATATCAAAGAAAACATACTTCATAACTGATATTTGATTGGGAACGGGATTGGGAAGCAGGGAATGAATAAATATGTATGTACCAAGGGAACTCGGTCTGTATTATTTAGGGAACAACAAGGAATCCGTTTCGTCAGAAGCTGTCAATAAAATGACAACGACCGAAGTTTCACTTTGCCGGAGTGGAATACGCGATGCAAATTTATTCCAAATAAATTCGCGTGCTACGGTTCTTGAGGCGTTTTGGGCTGAATCCAATTACAGTATTGGAATTATGTATATTTCTGTTGCTTTATAATTCCTATCCGAGAATGCCCACCCCAAAAAAACCGAATCTCTCTCTCCCCAGACGATTCCAAACGTGACATGCAAACGTAATCAGATCGATCATTATTATTACTTTTTTTTCTACTAGAAGTAATGATTTCCAGTTCATTTCACTTAATTACTTGATGGATCTCCAAAGTTTCCCCTCTTTAATTCCAATTTGTGACTACATTTTTTTTAACTACGTAAATAGATAAACTATTCTTGACAAGTATTATACTTGGGGAAACAAACTTTTCAATACTATCCACACCTTATAAAGTATTTACTTGTCAAGTATCATGTATTACATATTATTCAGTATTTGATTATGTACTATACTTGTCAATTTAACTTAACGTAAACACCCTTTGGTGATTAAATATGTTAAATAAGTAAAATATAAATAATATTTTAAATAAATTGTTTATATAGTAATGCATATACTAATTATGTAACTTGAGACTTAACAAGTACTAAACATGTCTTTTAATTGATAGTTAATTTGCAGCTGCAATTACATGAATTTAATTGGATCTTACTTATTTAGTTACTATTGTTATGGTAATTATTTCTTTAAGTATGTTATGTTTCCTACTTTATATAGTGTGTATGCAACGTAAGTGAAATGTTTGTTTATCAATTAAAATTTACGAATTTTAGTATATTTATATGTGTGATTAAAATTTCGTTATATACAAGAATGCGTTAATTTATTATTGTAAGCGGTTTCCTTATTGATCCTGAAACAATAACAAGTGTCTAAATTTGGATCAATGAGATGACGTTAAGCGTGAATGGCCGCGGTTAATGATGTGAGATCAGCCTGTACTCCAGAGCATTGAACTATTCTCGAGAAGCACGATAGTCTCTCCTCTTCCTATATGCAAATCTTCAATTCTGGGTCTAGGTACATACACTTGGAATATGAATTGACGTTGAATGCGCGAGAGCGCGCAATTCTAGGAAACAATTCAATTGCCTCCGTAGTTATCGGCCAATCAATCGGAATATCACGGGTCAACGGCATCCGCTAATCAAGGAACAACGTTAAGGTCTATGAACAAAAATAACGAGAAACGTTAGATGTGAATTCAGTTGGATTCATATTAAAATCACTTTGACTGGCGGAGGAGAAAAACTGTTATATGTATGTGAATGTTGTTGACGTTACTAGGGAGGAATAAAGATAATTGAAATCTTTATTTCAAGGATGCGCTGTGTATATTTTCCGGCACCGTTTTTTCATCTCTACATATTTTTTTTTGTACTTTTTTTGTTTTGTTTGATCCTCGTATTCTGCTCCTTTTCACGCTGCCGTGTCGTTATCTTCATCGATTCTCCGTTGAAAAGGGAACGTGGAAAAGGGCACCACACACACACACCGACAGACCGACACAAAGGCCCTTCGTCCTGTCTTCGCATACAAAGAATTTGCACGCGGAGCAGAAAAAGCCTATAGTCAAGAGACACTATTTTGCAAGCTGAAATATGATCAATCATCATCTTGTTGTGCCACTTCAATGCGGCTTTATGCAAAGCAGATTACATTTAAAGCGATGCAACATTGCTTCAACCTCAATTACTTCCGGTTATCATTTGTTACATTGTAATTTTTACAATAAATAACAAACATTTTTCAAAATAATATATCAACATTATTATATTTAATTATGCTAATGGAGTTTTTATAACTTTTAATTATAAATTTATGTTATAAACTTCTCTTTTACAATATCGGAAGTTACTTGCCTTAAATGCCAGTATTTTTTTCGTGGGCCCCCTAAAACCTCGTGGGCCTTTGGTAATGTGCCTATTGTGCCTAATATTAAATAAAACAGCTCTTTTAAAATACAAAACATATTTATTACGAATGTACTTTCCTGTCAATAAGAAGAATATGCCTATAGATGGCAGAAATATTGACAAAATTATAATTTAAAAATAAATACGATTGTTTCTAGATTTTTTGTGTGCTAAAATTAAAATAAGATTTGAATTTCAGTATCAAACTAAATTTTCAAGAAATTTGTCTGAAATATTAAATGTTATCCGGATATTTTGTATTCAATTTTCTTATCCGTATAATTAAAATATTTACCCACAAATAATAGTAAGAGGATTTGTGAAGATTTCGTTGGCAATTAAATAAATAAAAAAAAAGAACGTTAATTGCTAACGCATTAATACCGGCCGCATTTCCTTTATTTTATACGGCAAAAGGAAGCGTTTAAGATTGTACTGGATTAAAGGATAATACTAGGGTTGGGTGGTACTGCGCAAAATTTATTACTAAAGATTTACCACCCGCTTCTAAATGCATTATAATCTATTTTAATTTTTCATACAAATTTCGGAGTTTAATAGAACTTCATCGAATTATTTTAATACTTGAAGAATATTACATAAAAATTATTTAATTTTTCTTGTTACTATACAAAGGATTTTGATACAAATTGTAGAATAAAAGTGATTTATGTATCACTTTACGTATTTATATATATTATTTGTAATGCAAAACTTAATTATTAATTAGAAGTTATTGGTATTTGTTATTTCAATTAATTTATTTATGTTGATAAAAATGTATAAAATGTTTAAACAACAAAAATAATATTTTTTTTTTCAGTGATATTTTTCATGAGTAATAAAAGAATATTAAAATAATCCTGAATGACCACTAAATACAAAAAAAACTAAATACGTTTAAAGGCTTTCAACAAATGCTTTTGACCCACCGTCCATAAATAACGCAGAACGTAAATACATTTTATTTCAGTCGTTTTAAACGTGAATTAATAAAAAAAATCTACTAATTGCCAACCAGCTGTGATTGTAGCTTTGAAAGTATAAAGCAAAAAATATTACAATGGAATTTAAATATTAATTACAAGTTTTTTGTTAAGATTTTAATTAATAAATAATTTGTTAAGTATCGTGTTGCTAGTGTGTTTATCAATGAAACATTTTCTGGTGTATTAATTATATTTAATCATTGATGTATAAATATAAAAAAGTATAAATATTTATTTTTTACAATTTTTTTGCTCTAATTTGGTCCAAAGGACTAAGGACCAAATGTCTTTCCATCAAAAAGTTAATAAATTTGTACATTTTAAAACTTACAAAACTTCAAATTGTTTTACAACTTTAATGTTATACATTTTTGCTTATAACAAATTACTATAAATATTGATATACAAAATATATACAAGATAAGTAAGTATCGTTAATATAGGATTACATGAATCCTAATTAAAGTTGTTACTGATACGATTGAATGTATTATTTAGCTGTGTGCTATTGCAGTGGGCTTAATGTTGGAAGCCTTTGATTGTTTTATTGTACAGTTGCGAACTGAATGGGAACTTACACAAAAGTGTAGCATTTAGCAATGCGTTTAGCTCGGTTATTGTCCCTGTGTCTTTAGTGAGAGAGCAGCACAATCGAATCCAATTAGAGCAGAGAAAAGTATTTGGTTTTGATTGATTAATGAATGATTGTTCTGCAAATGATACACCCTTGCATGTGTCTTTGACACATCAACGTCAATCGTCCTTGCTTCGATTCGGTAAGCAATAATTGCAACAATTAAATCTCGAACGCCTTTTGCGAAACACGATACAATAATATTGCTGTACGATGCACGGAGCTACACCATTTCGATGCACGATTTTAATTTGACCTTTCACCTAAACCCATAAATATCGCAAACCATTATGTCATATTTAAATTCAGCGTTGTTGAATTAATAGTATTGATTCCAGAAGAAAACGCTCGATGCTGCTGGCCGCATAGCTGCATTCTATACCTCCTTTTATTTTGCATTCACAGATAGGAATTCTGTGTATGTGTGTTGGTTGGGTCGATGGACGTTCCTTTTACAAACCGTGCTTGGGTTCTCCCGACTCTTTGAACATTCCCATTCTATTGATAACAGATGCAAGTCCATAGATAAGTCCGTGTTGTCCGTTCAATTCGGAAGCTATGAGGCGCGAAACCGAATCTTTTCACCTTTACGCACATCTTTTTTTTGTATTCTTCATCGCTACTGCATCCCTTCAACGACATATTTGTAATTTGAGATTCCATTTTTTTTCAGCAGGAGTGATACGGACCCTATCTGTATTGGATTTCGAGACGAAGCCGCATTACTGGTTAACAGTTTTCGCACAGGATCATGGGGTTGTTCCGCTTTACTCCAGCGTCGAGGTATGTATACATTTTTTATATCAGATTTTTTTGTATAATGAAAGCATCATAATTGTCCAATTACCTTTGAACTTATTGGACGACTCTTTTTGAACGTTTACAAACAATAACGGCAATTTAGAAAACTGACTTACATTTATTTCTTACATATCAAAAAGCACACTTATTGAATATAAAAAAAATATTTTTTTCTGTTATATAAGTGAAAATAATAATTGGTACATTCATGTCTCCTTTCAAACACTGTATATATTCAAAACTGATCTACATTTGAACATGAAATCAACACCTTTCAACTGTTTAAAAGTATTATAAAAAGTATTATACTATAAAGTTTATAGTATTTTGATCATTTACAACTCTAGTATTTAATTATTTTTTCTCAATTCATAAAAACAGAAGAGAATAATTCTTGTATTAATGAAATTTTTCATTACGTAATTCTATTGAACATATTTTTCTCAAATAGTCGATCAAATAGGGCTTATTATGAAAATAAATTAAATTTATTGGCTATTAGTTCGGAAGCGAAATGATGGAGAAATGTGGCTTAATATCGTTTTAATAACGTTAATTTGATCAACTTGAGACAGTGCCTTTTTTGATAAAATTGTATAAATCTTAACTAATAAAATTTAAATTTTTCTAGTAAATTTATAAATTTTCAAAATTAATGAAAATTTAATCATAAACATATTTTAAATACCCGGAAAAGTTATGTTTGGCTTAATACAAATTTTGAGTAAATCAATAAATATTTTCAATATTCTGGAATAATTATAGGTAACTTGATTAATAATATAATTGAAACAGATACTTAATCTGTTAGCTTTGAGTAGATAAATGAGGAAAGTCTTCGACGAAGCCAATGATAACTGAATGTAGGACACGAGAGCTTTTGCGAGAATCCTGCGCTGATTCAGGAAATTTATTAACAATTAGTAGCGCGGAATTAATTGTTATGGGAGGATGTTCCGCGTAAAATGCAAAGCAAATCGAGCGAAATTAGGAAGTAATTGTATAGTTTGCAGAGAGGCTGTAAAGCAGCTAAGCGACTTTATATTATCACTATCATTACAAGCTTTACTCGGGAGGGTGAAGCAATCTGTTTTATAAATGTGGTCGCACAGTGTTCGGTGCCAAGAAATTTTATACTGCCCTTTGCTTGCATATAGGTTTGCTCCGGGCGATGTAATTCTGAAACACTCGAAGATGGTGAAGGGGAAAGAAAAGATTAGTTCTCGCTCAGCGAAGAGCAATTATCATCGCACCTCCAACTGTAACTGTTAACTGTACTTATGCAATGCATCGAGAGAAGACGAGGATGTTGGTTGTTGGATGAAGAGGGGAATGCGAATGCGAACGAGATGGGTGCGCAAATAACCCGAAGACATCGTGTGTTGTTCATGATTTATACTGCCCATTATATTCATTCCGTTCCGTTGCATATCATAATTCTGGAACTGGCTTGGCACTCTCTGGTTTGTACGAGCGCATTGTATAAACAACCCACCAGGATCCACGCTGTAAGCGCATGAACGCACGAATTAATGGTCACATACTGTACCTATTCTTATTCATTCAGCCCCATTATGCTTACCACTATTAATTTCGGCAGCAGTAAATCTAAAACCAACTTCCTCTTACGTTAAACTCCACTAAACACAAGAAATCTATAACCTATTTTCTATACTACACTTCAACTTGTATGTTATATATTGTATAGTAGATGTATACATTAACTAGTTAATAGATACATTTACACCCAAAAACTTTTCGATAATTGAATTTTGCTGGGGCCCTCGAATTAAAATTTGCCTCATTCTTCCAAATTAAAAAAATGCTTGGGGCCCACAAATTCAATATTATTGTTACACCACAGCATTAACGTAACATTTTTAGTACATGCATCAACTTTTTAAAAGTTATGTAAAACAAAGTAAATTTACCTAATATTTTAGTAAATCAATTCACTATATAAAATATTTAGTAAATATATATACTTAACAAATTCTTAAAAAAAACACTGATTAATTATATTAAGTAACCTACATTCTGTTTGTGTACAATTATCATAACCTGTCACTTATCCTAATGGACGCTTTTCATTTTACGTAACGTTGAATCAATATCTGAATAATACATTCACGTAAACTATTCAGGACTACGAAACAATTTTCATTGTATATTTTCCATAATAGTATTTTTTTCGTTGGAAATCCAGAAAACATATTCCAATCAAATAAAATTTCCACATAGCAGTCACTTTTCCCAATAGACGCCATTTGTTTTACCTAAGGCTAATATTCGAATCATTTACTAGATAGGATCCTTAATGCATAAGGGAATATGTTTTATTCAAGATTAAACTACTGTATTCCCGTCTCTTATGAAGATCTGGTGGGTTTCATTGAAAACAACTTCATCGGGATTATGATGATTTAAGAAACTTCTTTTTGTCTAAATTATCATGAAATTTTTTTATAAATTGTCAATTGTTTAAAATATCCCGGCGCTTCCACTTTTTTTTGTAGTTTTTTTAAATTTTTATTAGAAATACATTACGAGTTTTTCGAAAGCACTGAGTAAGAATTTTAATTTTCATAATTAAAAGCACTTAAATCGTGGATATTTCCAACAGGAAATATAAACACGTATCTGCAAACGGCAGAATTCCATCCACATTTTTTTTTGTCCTTGCCGATATGGAATGCATGAACTAAAGTATGCAAGTTTGATGGACTTTTCAATCGGGTGATTCCAATGGCAAAACGTATATGGTTTTATTTTCTGTTTCGTTCCCCGATGCATATCAGTCAACTCTTCAAATCAATACACTGTCACTTTTTTTCAGTCATATTCATTTCTTGCACTAAACAACGAGTCGCGTACAATAAAAAAAATACCGTTTGCAAAGTTATAACATCCAGGAAAATATGTGTGAAAATAAAATACGGAGAGCTGCGAAAAATTTAGTAATCTCAGTTTAATAAATTCATCCAGCTCTCTATGAACAGAAAAAATAGTGAAAGGATAGGGGAAAAAAACGAGTGTAGTTCGGGGCGTAGTTCGCTAATAAATTTACACGCTCCTAAGACCCACTTTAGTAAGTTGTGTAGCCCAAAAAATACTGCTTTGAAGGTAGAATTTTTCAAACCAAGTCTGCTGAAACTAATTACAGTATTGTTTTAGTTAGATTTAATAAATTACACGTAGTCACTGGATCGGAATTATTAATGATTTATTTATATATAAATCCAGCTATTATTGTGAATGCATTAATTATATCCATTGAATATTAATATAGACAACAATGGAAATTACTATTTATTTTGAATATTTAAAAAAAAATGTTTGTATTCCAAATATAGTAGTTGTTCGAAAACCGAAACCTTTGATGATTTATACGCAAAAATAATAAAATTCAAGGAGAAACGATGTTCCATTTCATATTTCTAACATACTTTATATTTATGAGTTATATAGAATCATATTTATGCTATAAATATATTTTTTTTTTATAATCTACAAATTGAAACACGAGAGTCGGCGAATGCTTGAATTCGAGCGGTTTTCAATTTGTTGTATCTCATTTATCATGCGCCTTTGAAAGAGAGCAAAGGAACGAGAGGAGTTCTGAAGAGGTTTTCACTGATTGCCGATATTTACGAGTTGAATAACGGCCGGTAAATATCATTTATCATCATGCGATCGGAGCGAAATACGCATTGTAGTAAGGACGTTCCCTTCCGTTTTTACATTCGACCGTATCCTTTTGAAGGTCCTGACAACGTCCTGAGGGATAGGAAGGAGGTGTGTGTGTATGTATATATGTGTGTGAGGAAGGACGAAAATTACGGACGTAAATTTCGGCCGTGTCGAACGTCCTTCCTAATATAAATTCTTTATTGCGGAACGCTATCACATTCTTTTCCCTGCGTTCCGCGGAATCGTAAATTCCCATCGAATGGTTATTCATTGCCCTTTGATAACAGCCCGAAAACTCTCTTTACGAACTTTTTCCGAAAACCCATAGTATTAGATGTGTTTCGCATACGAATTCGAAGCGAATCAATGTAATTCAATTATTTTGGATAATTCTTGTGAACCGTATACACTAGACCTTCATATGTATCCTAATTTCAATATATTTTTTGTGGGCCCCAAAATTTCTTGAGGGCCCTTCAACTTTTATTTGTCCTGTGCCTAGTGGACAAGTCGGCTCTGTATGGATGGATTCAAAAAAACGTGAGAAAATATGTGATTCTTGTACTTATTTACGAGTTTATTCTGCTTCTAAATAGAATCTATTATGGCTATGTTTCATATAGATTCACATAAAAAACTATAAACGTCTGTTTACTTTACAAGTCCATTATTTTTAGACTCTATTACGTCCATTCTATGTTAGGTAATTTATGAGACAACTCACCTTACTTACATGATTTCAATATACTATTATATGAAGTTAATTGTTTTCTTACAAGGCTTAACATATTTCAAGCTTTGTAAATGTTCTATTAGCATATTTTATTACATAAAAACGATACAGTTTTTTTTTTGCAAGAAGGTGATGTAATATTTTTATTACTTCAGACTAACATATAATTTCTATTAATTATATAAATGTTCATTAACAAAATAATTTCTATAGAAATGTTTCTAAAATTAAAAAAAAAAACAATTAAATTAACGAATGATGTAACTTCATATTTTTGTGATTTTAACCCTTAATTGAAATAATATTATTTTGCAACAAATCTAAGAAATTTAAAATTTATTTTTCTAATTTTCGTCTAATTTACTAAAAATTTTCAAATAATATGTTATAAACTTACATATTTTATAAAAACTGTTAAGGACTCTTTAATTTCTTCAAACTCTCATAATATTTATATATTAAATCAAACAAAAAAATATTTGTATGTAGTCTGTACACTGCTTTCTACTTGACTAGTTAATTTGGCAAAGGCGTAAATACAAGTAGATACACTAATACTACGTGATACTTGACAAGTTTGGTATTAGTAATATTTGTATTAACGTTATTTGGTGTAATTACTTATAAACTGTATTCGATTATATTATTATTTAGTGGTAATCTGATAGTTTATACAAAGTTTGAAAATCAGGACTATATACTAAGTGGGTCCAATTTGAAGGAAAGTGAGAACACATTTATCAAAATTATGCATCATTTATGAAGAGCCACGTTGAAGCGAAATTGCTATTGATCGATACGGGGATGTCCTGAAGAGCGAAAACGTAAGCGAGCGCTCGCCGTCGAAATTGGGTTAACAAAACAGCTTTAATGCAACAAAAATGTAGTAGTAGTGCTAATAATCAAGCATAAATTCCATCTCAAATTAGCACAATTTATGGGGTACAATTTGAATTTCGTTCCGGTGCTAAAGGAAGAGAGCATCATGAATTATTTAAAGAGGGGGCAGCTCGTCCCGGCAATTAGAACCATTAGATTTTCAAAATTACTATGCCATTTATTATTTTAGTCTTTCATACATCATCGTATCTTTTTTATTTCCTCTTCCACGTTGTTCTTTACGACTTACTTCTTTCCATTTCCAACACCATTAGTCTTCATTCCAGACAACGAACGCTCGGAATTACCTTAATATTCAACAAAACTCAGATACACAATAACCTTGAGTGCAGATGCGGAGGATTTTCTCTAATTGCATTCCGATCGACAAAAGGATGAATATTGATGAGGTGCACTATTTAACGCCTCTGATTTGAATTTTTGGAGGAAAAGTTCGGAATTTAGTGGAAGAAAATCTGATTCGGATTTCTTGATTCAGTTTTCCAATTGGATTGGTGAAGTGAGCGTATGGAACAGCAGAAGCCAAGGGGAAATGAGAGATATTCTCTACGGCCAAGTTTGCAGAGCGTGTTTGCTTAAATAAGTTTTAATTAAAACAACAATTAGGGCTTAATGTATGTGTGTGGGTGGGGTTTTGCATATAGACTCAGATGAGTTATACAGTCATAAGTTTTCGGGCTAATGTTAATAAATACATGTGGTGGCGGTGTATGTATGTGAGTGTGCGGAAAGTTAGTTAGCAAAACGAATTTATTACATTTAATTTGCATCACAATTAAAGTTCGCCTTTTTCTCTCTCGTATAGCGGATTTCGCAAATTACATAACCTACTTAATTATTTTTCAATTGCCCAACTGTTTTTTTTTTTGTTTACAATTTTCCGACTGTTTCAACGAGAAAACTAATAATATTTATTGCATTCACAACAATAGTAATAATAATAAAACAAAAAAGTTAACTTGACCATACGTGATTCTACCTAGAAAAAACTTTAAATCATTTGATTTTTTGTTTAGATTTCTCATTCATAAAAAAAATAGGTAACCTCAAAAGTGCCACGTGTACTGAAAAAAAGTGTGTAATTGCAGTTGATAAACCTGAAATATCACACATTCACAGTGTGGGTAACCTAAAAATGTCTTAAATGGCCTAAAGTATATTGTAAAAACGTGTATTAATGATAAACGTTTAGGTCAAATGTCATTCATAATATGGATATAGCATTAAAATAAGTTGGTAACTATCATTCATAGAAAATAAGTTAACCTAAATAATGCCACGTATGTAGTGAAAACATGTGTAATGATAAATATTTACATCAAACTTCATTCATAGTGTGGATGCAACCTTATAATACCATAATGTCATTTTATATTACGTAATACATACATCTACATGTTGTTATATAAATAAAAAGAAAGTTAATCTAAATTACAGACTTATATTTTACATGAAATAATATTGAATTAATGAATTGAAATTGTATTGAAGTTAAATCATTGAAAACCACTTAAAGGATAAGCGTTTTACAAATGTGTACATAGTATTAAATGTGAAAATAGGAACAGGTAGATGCTAATTTACGTAGATTAATTCGCGATTTAGCAGTCATATTTATGTTGCGCTTGGTTTTAATCCGCGAAGATAAATGGCAATTTTCTGTTTATTCAAACTATGTACGTTACGTAAGCTTTATACAACGAATCGTTTGAATTAACTCATTGATTATTATCTTATTATAGGCTTTCAAAATTAATTTATAAAGATGCTTAAAATGTATTATTTTTAATCATATTTAATCCTAATGGGATTAAAATTAAATAAGCTTGAATCGATTGAATTAAATATTACTTTATTTTAGCCTTTCCACATTAATATGTTATGAGATGCTTTGAAATTATGTTGAAAATAATTTTCATAATTATATTTAATCCCATTGGGATTAAATTCAAAACTTTTTGCTATTAGATTTTTCAACTGTTAAATATTTCATGAAATTTCATAGTAAGTTGAGGTATATGCAAATTTTTAATTAGGGCACTTGAAATTAGTGGATAATGAAATGATTGCAATTTTAGTTGCGTGACAATGAAAGTTTTTCTGTCGAGTTTATCGCTCGGACCGAATCGCATATTTAAAAGCAGATCTTAAGATTGTAGTTAGTTAAGGGTAGAAAAGAAGAAAGAAAAGTGGAAAGCAAAAAAAATGGTTTTGTATACAAAATAAATTAAAAGTCGAGAACATTAAATTCCGTTCATTAGTGTCCGACGTAATTAACTTTGAGCACAAGGCTTTCGGTATATATATATATTTTTTCCTACCTCGATTATTTTTCCGCTTCCTTCTGCTTTTTTATTCTTGTTGTTGTTGCTCTCTTTGTAGTCGGCGGCATTAGTGTAATTACAACAACAGCAACAGCAGCAACAACGAAAAGAAGGTCGACAGCAAGAGAAGGAAAAAAGGTGGAACGAAGAAATGAAAAGAAAAAGGGAGGAGGAATCGTCGTGACTGAATCTACTTTAACACGCCACGTTTAACAATCCTTAAATCCCTTCTAAACGCTCCGACATTCAGCCGGGGAATCTTGCGTAATGGGCTCACATTTGTATCCGAAGAATTGAAAGAATAAACGCGCTGGAATCGCCGGTACACACAGCTCCAACGGTGATGATGATTGCTGCAATTTAACTCCCATATGTTCCTCGATAAAAATGATTTTCGTTTTGAGAATCCTGAGGCGCGGCGCGGTTTTCTTATTCCTTCTCCCGAGCTCCGAGTTCGCATTAAAATTATATAAATCCGGTCTGGGAAAATCCCGGAGTAGAGTAATAAAGTTCACTGGCAGACTTCCTCTCCTCTTTTCCGCGCAAAGCAGAGGTAACAAAAGGATGTAATTTCCTAGTGCAATAACGGACGACGTCCTTGGTATGAATTGAATATAGAAATCCGTTTCGGTGGAAGGAAAAAGCGCTGGAAAAGAGGAGAGAATAAAACGAAAAAAAAAATAAGTAAGCGAACAATGAGAAGCGTTCGCAAATCAATTGCTTTCCTCTTTATTTTTGATGTCCTCCCATAATTCGCTTATCCAGCGATCTTCATATATGTTTGCTTATTGATTTCAGATTTACATTAAGGTCCTGAACGAGAACGATAACGTACCATTAAGCGACGAAGCTGTGTATTATCCCAGTGTTCCGGAGGAGAGTCCTGCTGGGCGTGTCGTCCTGCAAATAAGTGCAACCGATAGGGATCGCGATCCAGGCCAGAGAATCACTTACAAGATAGTTTCTGGCAATCAGGAGGGTTTCTTTGCCATCAATCCTTCCACCGGTGAGTGTCCGCATGGTCCAAATACATTACATTGAAAAATTACAACCATTTTCGGACGGTCCAGATTAATGCTCTAATGCCCATGTATCATTTTTCAAATACCCTTATTTTGTGTTATATAACCATTTTCATCTATCAGCTCATCCATTATAACTACCTCTCTGTAATTTTCCTTATCCAATCTTTCCAAGTTACAATTTTATAACTTACACATACTTTCAAAATCTTCAATATTGAAAAACAATTAATCTAATTATTATTTTAATTTTGACATCTTTTTTTGAAAGAAATGAAAAAACTTTAACCCAAAATTCTAAAATTGTTCCATATTCTTGATTGAAATGATTGCTTTTCTATCTTTAAGAGATTATTTCCGTATTTCATTTAAAAATATTATTTTTCATTAATATTCGAATATGAACTGAAGCAAAATAAATGTAAGCTATTAAATTACAAGATATTTGGAATATTAAAATTTGAGTGTTATGAAAATTGTATATTTTTATATACTGCAATATTTTTTCCTAAAAAGAAACTCGCTTTGGTTACGATACAGATACTTTACATAATTCACTTTATATTAGGTTTTTACACTCAACGTAGCAATGGGAGTTAAAAAAAATGTTTATTTTCTTTATGCGCGATTTTAGACCCTTCAGAATTTGTTCAGCGATTAACTTACACATCATAACGTCTTAACTCTCGAAAATATATATACTCGTTATATGTATATACATTTGGCCTCTGGAGTATTTCCCCCTTTTTCCCGAGCTTGTATAAAAGTGTGTTTTCTTGGAGCATTCGCCTTCTCCTTTTCCCGCCTGCTCTTAAATAAGAAATGAAAAATCCCTCTTTGGAATGGATATGGTTTGAATGGCTCCTGCAGCTGTCTCCTGGTGCCGTAATGGCTTTACTCAGTGCGCGAGGATCGTTTCCAAGGACGATAAGTGGTTCCACGTAGCGTCCCGCGATAATCTCCCAATATATCCAAAGCAAAACTCGCCGCGAAACGTATCCACCCAAATAATACAATAATAAAAGTAAAATGAAAAAAGGTAATGCCTCCATTTGTATTTAGCGCCAAAAACCTCCGTTCAATTTACCCCATCGATCGAGTCGTTGCGGTTTTCCACTCGACGAGAAAGTTTAAATTAATTGTTTCCAACATGCAGACGCTGTTTATTTTGCTCGAAATCCAATTTTTTTTTGTTCTTTTTGAGAGAGAGAGAGAGAAAATATATATCCGATGCAATAATTATTTGTGCATTCGAGTCGAGCTTTTTCCAATTTCCTTCCCTCCGGCTGTTTTTCCTATCGTTTCGTACACATATAATTTCCGAACGACGTCGTGAAGGATTGAATTAAAATCGCGCAAACTGAGATTGCGAGGGTTGCGTTGGAATGGGTGAAATATATATGTATTTATAGAGAGAGTAAGTCGTAATATTTTGCGGGTTGATAAATTAAAAGCCAAATGGGAACTGTCTGGGTTCTCTCTGTGAGATTGATTAAAAAGATTTCCTGCTTTCTACTTAGTGAGTTGAATTGGTGAAGAAGGGATGAACGGGAAGTGAGAAGAGAGAGTGAGAGAGAGAAAAAAAAAATATATAAAAGAAGGGACGGAGATATCGCACGCACGCGAATTTCGCGCCGCGTTTTCACCCCGATTGTTTATGTAATAATTCATAGGAGAAAGGGAGGTATTAATAAATCAAAAGTTTCAAGTGCGGCACATCTCTTTCTCTCGTCGCGTTGTTGATGATTATGATGATGATGATGATGATGACGGCATTCCTACGCTCCGCGTAATTGCTTCCATTATATTATTAAATTGCATTTTTGTGCTACATGCCTGGGGATGCACTTTTAGGTATTTAACAGAAATGCAGTTATTACGTCAGGTCGCTCTCTTTCTCTCTCACTCTAATTCTCCAACCCCTCCGCATTTCTGTCTTCCTCGTTCAAGAGGAAATTACGTTTTCCAACCCTGAATCATTTAAAACGACATCACTGAAGCACAGACGGGAAAAATGCGTATATATATATAGTAAACACAGAAAACTGACGCTAATTGCATTTGCTTAATTCAAACAGTACTAACAGCATTTTCCTCTTCAACCATTTGCATTTTTCATCTCGCATCCTTACATTTTACTTCCCAAATTCATGCAATATTAAGAAGATTTTAAATAAAACAACAATATATCGATTTCGATCTTTTTCAACGTCTTTCAGAAGATTAATTTAAAAATTTAAAATAAAACAATATTGATTTCCATATGTCCCAAAACAAAAATAAAGAATGCGAAATTTAATTCATATATTATTTATTATTAAGAGGCTTACAAAGAATACAATTATATCGTTTTCAACCTGTCTCAATGAGAATTATATATTTTTAAATTCATATATTATGCATTATAAAGAGGCTTTAAAAGATAATATTTTTTATTTTTAAAGTAAACGTAATCTATATTTATGAAATAATTACGAAATTGGGTATGTTTTAAGGAAAACAATTAAAATGATGAACTGAGTATTTGAAGGTACGAGTAATATTAGGGTTGTAAGGTATACAAAGCAGAAAGGAAGACAATATTGGAATCTTTTGTTATTTGTTTTAGTACAATTTAAATTGGAATTCCCTCAATTTTCTACAATATTTGTTTTGTATTGTTACGTTTTATAATTCTGATTATACAACTGCTGTGGACCTTTCATAAAAGTTATGTATAGCTGTTGTCCCAAGATAATATTGTTTGGAATTGAGTTCGATAACAAAATAGGTATATCGAAGTCGTCCCGTCTGATACGTACGAATAATTCAGATCCGATACCTTTCAGGTTTTATTTCATCGCACGTGAAAAACAAAAATACAAATGCAAGAACGACAAGCACAAACGGAACGCGTTAAGTATGCATGAGCAGCAAAAGACCCCGGAATCGAAAATCAAATATTAATGTCGTTGATTCTCTCATACACATATGGTATTTAATATGAATGGAGCTCGACTCCGGGAATTGAAGCTGGAGAAGTGACATGCGTCTGTAGACGGGATCATCATATTACTATATCCGCGTACGAATTGATGCCTTCTCTGAAATCTAATTAACCTAAACCAATTACATTTACCTATTCGTGATTAAACTTACAATGCGTTGAATTATAAAAGATATTAAATTTTAGATAATTAAACCAATAAATATAAGGTTTATATTTTCATTATTGGATGATGTGGATAAAGAGAACTACAAAAGCTATGATGAACTAATATTTCTTTTTGTGGATGTCTTTTTGGAGGTGTGGATGAACAGGCAAAGAAGACTCTGACTTTTGGAAAAGAGGCCAAAACTGGGATGATGATGGAGCTGCGGCGATTTGTTTGCGTTAGCCGTTGCCGGCGGGGCAATTAAAACTTGTTCATTTAAATCTCCCGCTCCCCGAATTAAATTGCGAAAAATTGCAGGCAAAATCCACCTCCTTCTCGTCGCGCGGCTTTAATTCTTCTCCGGCTGCACCGAGCATTTGGAATTGAATAAATTAATGCGCCGTCGCCGCTGCCGCCGCCGCCTCTCAAACCGCTCACTTGGAGCCAGGTCTGGGGATTTGTGAATGAAAAACTAAAGTAAAAAGAGGTAATTCTCCATTTGCTCTGTGCTTAAACGACGGCAACAGAATGGAAAAAAGTCATAGCTTTAAAGAAACCCACAAACCAACTCTGGTTTCTTGAGTTTTTAGAATATACCAAAAGATACCGTCTCTTATTAGTAGTAATAATAAGACCCCCTGAAGAATCGGTATATGTAGAAAACATACCGTCCCCTCTGTCATCAATTTTTCTAGTATTTTGAGAATATATATTATGAAAATGGTTTTTACTCTGTCATTGCTTAATTTAATGGAAACACACAAAAAAAAAATACTTAAAAACATTTTTATTTTTACATCATTACGTGACGTAACGTAACGTATTGTACATTTAAAAATAGGCAAATAATGAAATTAAATTAAATAAAAATCCATGAAAAGCTCAAGGAGTTAATAAAAAAATATTTCGTTTTAGAAACTTTTCGATCTGTAAAATAAACGTAGATCTGCAGGAATCCTTAAACGTCGGAATTGCGTTTGTTTCGATGCTCCCTTATTTCCCATTCAGCACTTTTTAATACGCGACCAATTCCACCCTTCAAGCAACCTCGACTTTTCAATCGAAAATCAAGTTTTCGAGTGCCAAAAGTTTCTCTCCCTTATTGCACCCCGTATCCTTCTAGCACAGCATCCTTCACTATACCCAATCGATGTGTGTCTTCCCCAACAATTGATGGGATTTAGTTCAACTCGTTTTTATTTTACTCTCATATTTTTTCATTGCACTTTTATGTTTTTGTAAACTCTCCCCCCCCCCAATTCTCTTCTCTAGATATATATGTATTTTTTATTTTGTTGCTTTTATTATTATTATTATTTTTGTTACCACCGGGACCCTTAATAAAATGAAACAAAAGTTTTAAGCTCCTGCAGCGGCTTTGTGTTGCCGACGTATTTTTGTTTTCGTTGCAAACATTTCTTTTTTTTTTTTTGTTTCATTCTTTGCGGTTTTATGTATTACAACATCTCTTGCGAACTCACTTCGGGCAATTAAGCTGCGACCACTCGGAATGCTCGTGCTTTATTCATTTTATTGTGTAATTAATGAGTTTCCTTCTAATCCTGTTTTCAGGCAATATCACGACGACGACCCGGAAATTGGACAGGGAAACGCAGGAGGAACACATCCTCGAGGTGAGTGGTACCACTTCTTCTTCTTCTCAGTTACGCTTTTATTTTCTCTGTTCACCACTTAGATATTTCTCCTTTTGCTGCTGAAAAGTTTTGCGGCTTCCAGTCAAAGGGTTTGTACGCCCGGGGAAAAGCATTACCGCGGCAAAGTAGAAAGGGTCGTTGGCTCGCCTTTAAAGCCGGAACCTTCATAAATATCTTTTAAGGTTTCGCCCATTGATTTTATCCCCGCCGTAAATACATATTACGCATGCATCGACTTTTTTTTCTCTCTTCTCTCAAATTCATTGTGAATTCACTTTTCGCTCAAGTTGTGCGACTGACCCTCAAGTTTTTGGATGGCCCCGGGAAATTTGCAAGCACTTAACAAGATGGGATAATGCCCCTTCTAAGTTAGCCGCTCACTAATTAGTAATCAATATCAATTTCCACGGGGGTTCCACCATAATTATTTAAATCAACAACTTGCAAATTAATCCCTCAAACCACCTCAAAGCCTGTTTCGCAGCAAATCAAATTACAGCAATTTCACCGGGAAAGAAACGAACTAATAAACTGTATGTGAAGGCAGCAGTTTGCCACGAATTAAGAGCTACAGAAAACGTGTATTGCGAATTGCGCAGAGCGTGCTGAAACCAATTTGAATGCCATTTTAGGTGCCCATTCTTTCCCTTTTTTTTCTTCGCGGGAACTACATTCGTTGCCGTAAAAACTGGAGGATATTTTTTAGTTTCGCGTGACCCATAAATCCAATTTGCTGCACATAAAAAAGCAATGAGAAACCTTGTACAACTGGTACATGGTCCGAAGAACAAACGTTACGTAACCCGATACTTTGGGTATTCGACGTCGCGTGCTTCTGCTGCTCTGGCAAAGGTGAAACTAAAAGTTTTATACTTCTATTTTTCTTCGGTGGACACACGCAACACTTCGAAGCAGTTTCCTTCTGCTCCTGTTATTTTCCTCTTTTTTGTATGTGTATGTCAACTTATTATTACGGGGTGGGCTTTGGAACTTCGGCGGAAGAATTCGAAGCCTGATGATTTATTGTCGCAACTTTTCGGACGGATCAAAAGCAGCTCAAATTTATTCCACCTGGAAATTTCTGCTAAATAAATATTTTCCTCTCTTTCGGGCTTAGTCTAGCACTTAATATTCATTATCGGTACCCCATTTAGCAGGCAGATAGCGTTTCCCTTTTAATTAATCACGTTTCAGCGGAGGAAATCCTCCCCCAGCACACATTATTCCTCCTTGCCTTCCATATACGCAATCTATTTTTTTCCTTTGCTGCATGGATAAAGCTTTGCATAAAATCTAATAATAACTAAAAATACATATTATGTTATAGTTTATAACGGAAATAGGATAGATCCAACTAAAGGTTAAAGACTGAACTCACACAACTATTGCTACTATTGCATACATTTATATTATTTCCGTTTTTTTTTTAAATAATATTAATTAATTTTACTAAAACTTTGGTCTATAACTAAGATGTATAAGTACACATCTTAGTTAAATAAAACACGATGTTTAGTAAAGAATCTTGTAGTTGTAAACTTAATTAATCAATCTGATCGAAAATATTTTAACTATTCAGTTGTAATAGATTTCGATCGTTCCAAATTGAACAAGGAGTATTTGCACCACAATTTATGTTAAATGTATCAAACATTTGACAACTATCTTCTCGAAATCAATTTAACAAAGTTGAGCTATTTAGTTCAACGAAATAATTGAGTGAAATCAAGGCCTGAAGGAAATAGGCTCACGAAATTGAATTGTCCTCCGTTTCAGGAACACAGATTTATGTGCTTTCACCAGGACCAATGTGTCGCTGAAATTTATAACTTGATATGAAAACTCGTGGGCGATTTATTCTAAAATCAACTGCACCACACACTCCGTGTATCCTGTGCATGGGGAAAAAATTCCAGCAACTTTTCCAACCTCGCTGTATATGAATACGAATTCCATTTTTCCATCTCTCACTTCGCACGTAATAAACTTTTTTAAACGACGCGCCTGCCGCACGATCAATTCCCAATTTTCACCATCGATCCTCTCTCTGTCTACTCTCTATTCCCCTTTCCATCGGTTTACAGAATATCTCCATTCCAACTATTTCTTTTACAAATACTGCACCGCTTTCTGAGGATAAGTAAGAACTGTCCAACGACCTGTTAAAGGCGTATCTCCGTAAACGATGATCCTTTTTTAAGTTATCGGCATGTTATGTAATTCCAAATCCCAACTTCGGGAAACAACGTCCTTGCAGAAACCGCCTTCGACTTGTCCTCCTGATTTTTCAATTACTTTCGTCGACTTGTTTTCCACTTTCTTACAGAACTATAGTAATCAACGCTGTAATCCTTTCTTAAGCTGTAACAATAAATTATATGATATATACACTTCACATTAGAACTCTTATTATGTAATAATTGGTATAATTTTAAATTATAAAAGTTGATATAATAACTTTTGTATGATGTTTGCAGAAACACATTTAAACATATAAATGTAGGTATAAATATTTGACTGTACCAACAATTTGTTTGTATTATTTTAAATGTAAAATCAATAAATTACGTAATATTTGTAAACAGAAGTCATATTTCCATTATATGTAATTGAAAAATAATATTTCTTGTGATCAGATATTAAATACGTTTCTATTAAAATTAATGCTGTTTAATTAGAGATTAGTATTAAAAGAGCGTTCATGTAATAAATGAAGTAATTAAAGGTAATCTACCTATAGGATCATTTCCTATGTGCATTTCCCCATAATGCATAATACTCTTTTCTCCCTATTACATCCGAGGGGCTTACAACGGAGAGAGGTAAAAAAAGTTAATGATCAAAATAGAGAAGACTGGGAAATTTCAAAGGCCTAATTTCATTCGTGCGGTAAATATAGCGTTCCAGAAAAGCTGCAGCTAGTAAATACCTTGGTACAAAGGGCGAAACCTGAGTTGATTTTAAAATTGGGAAGGAAACTTTAAAATAAGTACGTCGTCATACAAAGCTCAAAAAATAGAATAGAGAGGAGAATATCTTTGCGTCGCAAAAGGGCTTTAGATGCTATAGAAGTTAAGAGGATTCGCGATGCAGACGACGTTATATTTTTTTCTACTCCACGTTTCCTTTGAATTGTCGCTGTATTAAGCTTAGTTATATGGAAATTGTATTTGATGATCGTGATGATTGATTTCAGGTGCAAATTTCGGATAATGGGAATCCGCCTTTGTCGTCGACGACGCGTGTCGTTGTTAGAGTGGAGGACATCAACGATAATGCACCAGAGTTTGAGCAGAGCTTCTACAAGGTCCAGATTCCGGCCACTGCTTCCGAAGGCGACGACAGACATATCTTCCAGGTAAGCTAATAACCAACCTCGAGGTCCATTTATTTTTGCTCCCGGGATAAATTAAGAGTCGGATAGAGAGAGAGGGAGATTCAGAGGATGAAGTCGGAGAGCAAACTGCTCCGTTTACTGATCTCCATTGCACATGACACATGCAAATGCGAGCAAACTGGAAACGTAGTTTCCTATTAAAGCGATTTATTTTGCTGGGGACACGTCGCATTTGCATCTGAGAATTACATTCGAGTTTCCAGTGTCCACGGACGAAAGGGCGCATGCAGAAAGCGCCCCGAGCGGAAGTCGCACATGATTTGCACACCTGCCATATATTTAAAATCGAAGGATAATACAGTTTGCCCGAACTCGTAAAGTCCAATTCAACGCCTACGAAAACAATCCGTTCGCAATTTGAGGCTTTTCCGCTGCGAGCTCACGGAAAATGGAATTGCCATCGCGAATTCTGAATCAATTCTCCCTATTTACCTAACGTATCTCGAACGTTACAACGTTACTTCATTTACCTATTGTTCAATCAAATATTGAAAACAACATCAGTATTTTACATACCTTGAATTCAATTCTAAATCGCCGGAAGGCGACTTGAGCTTTCACAATTTTCTAAAGTTAAACAACATTTACCAGCTTATATAGGTGACCATTCTAAACGGTTTTCATAATAACATGTCGTTAAGCAACGATGGGTGCATTTAAAAGTAACCAATCAATATTGATATCAAACACAATCACATAACTAATTGTTAGTTAATTAATTTGGTATATACAGTTACCGTCTGAGATGAATAAATATGGACACCTAGTATTTGTCCTTCTTACTTTATACTTGATTTCATCATCTGCGTGCATTATATATTCACGACATGCTCACACTTGTGGATTAGATCTACACTTTTTCACGAAGACTTAATCAGAATTAATGCCACGCTCCGAGAAATTGCATCAAACGTGAACTGGATTTTTACACCTTCCGGACGAAGGCGCAATAATTAATCCTCTCTAGGATTAAAATTCCATTTGTTATATTTTTGCATTTTTATGATGCATTTCAGTCTATGAATATAATTTTACATTATATAACAAAAAATAATAGAAAGACAAAATATCATAAACTTTTTGTATTAAAATTAAATTATTTAACAGTAAAAATATGATTTTCTTTAAGAATTTAATTAATTTGTAATGAGTTAAAGTTGTATATATAGTAATGTGGTTTGATTGAAACATTAATAAAATAATAATGTTCTTTCATCGTACAGTCATCCCTGTTTGTAAATAAATGCACAAAGAGATTTTCCCTTGCGTGTATTGTTTTATTTTTCTTATTTAGTTTTGTTTTGTTAAGTGTTGCAAAAGCATGAATGGACCATCCACTTTGACTGTAAGATTTCACGTTCACACGATTTACACCTTATTCACAGTTATGTTTCGTTTTTTTCTTCATTTTGAGCGAAATTGCGAATGTGTAAAGAAGAAATGTACATTTAGAATCGCTCCCCTAAGGCGATGAAAGTGCGGGCTACCAGATGATGGCAGAGTCCATTATAATAACAGTAAAAAGAAAATAAACAAATATATATATACGTTTCCACGTCGTGTATAATATATTATACTGACAGTGTATTACATAATTTAGAACGACGCTCCGGACGATTTCGACGGCGCGGACGCCGCGACGGATGATGATTCATGGGAGTTGTTCGGTCCTGACGACGTCGCAGGACTTGACCGGGTTCTGCGGGTAAGCGGGAATGATGAATTGCTAAGCAAAAGAATACAGGCAAATATCATCCAGCTGCGATGCTAGAAGCAAACATAATAATAATAATAGCAATAACAACAACATCAAGCATACGAGAGCTGCTCGTACTTGTTCTCTTGCTGTTCCTGGGGAGGAAGCATCTGCAGGATAGAAAGAACTAGCACGATCTTATTCATCCTAGCAAATACATTCCATTAATAAATACATTCTGCATGCCATTTTAACGCATCCCTTTTACAATTCAATTCAAGTCGTATAAGATGCATGTGTTTCGTTTTTCTCTCATTTTATTTATATTCTGTTACGTGTGCATGCGATTGCATTCCATTTTACCTGGTGGTTTTTGTTTGTTTTTTTGTTTGTTTTCGTCGTTTTAATTAATTTATTTATTATCATTAACTCATTTATCTCGTGATTTAGTGCGCGTATTAAACTGTTACAACTTTGCAACTAGGTCTTGGCTTACGACAGGGATGCGGGGCCTAATGGTGAAATTCAATACAGCATCAAATCCGGCAAGGGAAAGACGAAGTTCAAGATTCACAACTCAACTGGAATGGTTTTCGCTCAGAAAGGATTTGAACCAGGACAGGAGTACGAGCTGAATGTAAATATAAAAAAATGCATTGGTAGGTTTATCTAATACTATTGATTCACGTTGTTTAGGTGCGGGCTACGGATGGAGGCGGAAGGAGTAGTATTTGCCGCGTTTCAGTCCTGGTAGTGGACGTTCCTCCTAAGTCCAAGAACCCACCCATCATCAAACAGCCGCAAAGCTCTGAAATCACCGAGAAGGACGAAATCGGCTTCTTGGTCACGCTTGTGCAAGCATCCGATCCAGACAATGATACTTTGTGGTATGATATAGTGGACGGCGATCCCAGAAACGAGTTTTATATCGGCCGCGACAACGGAAACATCCTGTTGGCCAAGCAGCTGGATTACGAAACGCAGAAGGTGTACGTCCTCAATATAAGCGTGACTGATATGACTCACACCGCGTACACCACAATGAAGGTGTCGGTCATCGATATCAATGACAATAGACCCAGGTTCCTGGAACCTTTATACAAAGTGGAGATATCCGAAGCTGTGGCTGCAGGCACTGAAATATTGAAATTAATAGCCACAGATCGCGATAGCGGTGGAAAATTGTTTTATAGTCTTCATACAGCTAGGAATTTGATCTCTCTGCAGATCTTCAAAGTAGACTCTCTATCCGGATCGGTGACTTTGGCGGAGAGTTTGGATAGGGAAACGTTGGATGAGCATTTGCTTACTGTGATGGTACGCGATGGCGCCACCCCAGCGAAGAGGAATTACGCGAGGATCTTGATCATCGTCCACGACCAGAACGACCACACGCCTCAATTCTCCGAGAAGATCTTGGTTGGAAAAGTGTTCGAGTCTGCAGCCGTGGGTAGCGCGGTTTTGAGAGCGTTCACTGTTGATCACGATAAAGGCGAGAATGCCAGAGTCACCTATTCCATAACTTCTGGAAACGTCGGGAACGTGTTTAGCATAGATCCTAATTTGGGTGTAATCCAAGTGGCCAGGGAACTGGATCTGGCCACGGCCAATGAATACACTCTGTACATAAAGGCCACAGATCACGGGCATCCTTCGCACTCCTCGAGCGTTCCAGCGCACATTATGCTCACCATGGCCGACAATGCTCCACCTAGGTTCGTCGAGAAGGAAATTGCAGCGGAAATTTATGAGGACAGACCGCTCGGCAGTTACGTGGCTCATTTGAATGTGCGCAGCACTTCTTCGCTGCAATATGAAATTGTCGATGGCAATACCGGAGATACTTTCGCCATTAGTCCAAGTACTGGGGTCATCATCACCCAGAGATTATTGGATTATGAATTGACTAAATTTTACAATCTCACTATCAAAGTCCTTAATATGGTAAGTTTCTACATAATCCCTATGGATTTATATTTTTAATTAACTATAATTACATGCAAGAAGTAATCATTTATTAAGTTGAATGTAAAGCGGTATTAGCTTTCATTGAACATGAAATAAATGTCAGGCCGCGTGGAGAATTATTTCATATCTGCGATAAGAAACGGTGTTGAAGTTGAGACTTCTTTTATTTCTGTTGAATAATCTCAATTTATAGTTGGATGAGGTGAATGGTGTGCCGGAAGGCTGTGGGTTAGGATTTATGGGAAGTTTGTGTTTGAACTGGTTTTTGTTTGCAGGCGAGTGTTTCAGCGGAATGTAACGTGATCGTCCACATATTAGACAAGAACGATAACGCGCCGGAGTTCCTGCAAGCGGTTTATTCCGGCTCGATAAGCGAATCGGCTCCGGTGAACTCTTTAATCCTGACAAACTCGAGCGATCCTCTCGTGATAAAAGCTGTGGACGCAGATTCGGAGGTGAACGCGCTATTGCACTACGATATTGTTGAAATCTTACCGCGCCAATACTTCCATATCGACGCCAATACCGGTGCAATAAGAAGCATAAGACTACTGGACCACGAAACCGTCGACAAATTCTCTTTTCATGTTCAAGTGTCGGACCTGGGTAAACCTAAGCTGTCCTCGGAGACGACGGCTAGGGTAGACATTACCATCACCGACGTCAACGACTGTCCACCCAAGTTCTCTCATTCTTTGTACAACGTGACGCTTCTACTACCTACGTACAAAAGCGTCGCCGTCATCCAGTTGAATGCGACAGACCCAGACAGCCGAGAGAGCACTAGTCTACGTTACGACATAATCGACGGGAACAAGCTCAGAATATTCGGGATCGATTCCCGCACAGGCCTAATAACTGTCCTCGATCCGGACAACATGAAGCCGATGCATAAGCTGCAAGTGCGCGTCTCCGATGGGAAGTTCTCTAACGTTGCCAAAGTATACATCCGTGTGGAGCAGTCCGAAAACTCGGGTCTCATCTTCCAGAAGCCCGTCTACGAAGGAAACATTGTCGAAAACTCCACAAAACCCACAACGGTTTGCGTGGTGAATGTATTAGGCAGCGCGCTAAATGAGCATCTAGAGTTTCGTATCTTGAACCCCACGAACATGTTCAAAGTGGGCTTAACCTCGGGCGTGATACAGACGACCGGGTTGCGGTTCGACAGAGAAACCAAAGACAATTACGAGCTGATTATCGAGGCCAGAAGCCAGATGCCGGACAGAGAGAAGCCCCGTGTCGCTCACGTGATTGTTAATGTGACTGTAATGGACATCAATGACAACTGCCCGATGTTTGTAAACCTCCCCTATTATGCAGTAGTTTCTGTGGACGATAAAAAGGGCAGCATCATTCACAAGGTGCACGCTATAGATATGGACAGTGCGGAGAACGGAGAAGTGCGTTACGAGCTCATCAAAGGGCACGGGGAACTCTTTAAGGTTCAACGCGAGAGCGGAGATATTGAAATTAAGCAAAGTCTCGAAGGCCACAACAGAGAATACGATTTGTTCATTGCCGCTTACGACAAAGGTGCGATTTCCGGTCACTATAAATTACCAATTGCTCATGTTTATTTTATTTACAGGTATTACACCTTGCCGAACGGAAGTCAAGGTGCACGTGAAAGTTATCGATCGATCGATGCCGATATTCAAGAAGCAATTCTATTCGGAATCGATACCGGAAAATTTCGAGCTGCATTCGCCATTGGCTCTGTCCGTGCAAGCCGAGTCTCCTTTAGGCCGTAAACTCATTTACAGCATCGTCAAAGGCAACGAACTCGAAGAATTCGCACTGGACTTCAACACCGGTAAGCAAACTGACGACAATTGCGCGACTACTACACTAAAAACACTTACACGTGAAATCCATTACATTTGTTTTTCTTACGACAGGCAATATCACGAATCCTAAACAGTTTACCACTATCAAAGATTTCTTAAGTTATTTACCGAACTCGAATACTTCCAGTAAAGGTATTACATGTTTTCGCAGGCCTGGATTGATGCCTGATTGTTTTCTTTTTATTTATTTACTTTTTGTTAACCCCGTGTGTTTTTCCACCTACCCACCTCTTATTACTTTTTATTATTTTGGTGTTGGATTTATAACAGAGTACAATATGCATGGTATTTTATAAACACACAATACACAAGCAGAAAATTCGCTTGATTTCATCTTTAATTATTTTAATACCAATAATTAAACTTCATCATCACTTATAATAACAATAATATTAATAATAAATTTCTTTATTATTAACATTACATATAATACTACGTAATTAAAGATGAAGCAAGATACAGATAAATTAAATACCGCCCCTTGCCCCCCTTTTAGAGTTGAAGATCTTTGAATTGACCGAAATTAGTAGTGATTGGTAGAGATGAGAATTTAATATTATTTTTGTGTTTGGTTTTATTTATTTAAAATCACTAAACAAAGCTATTTTGACTTTCCACAGCCCCCGACAGTAACAATGGTCCCTGTGAGTATCTCTTTGTAGAAAGAATTAACTATCGCTTGAACTCTCTAAAACTGCACGACGCTTTCTACTTAATATCTCCATCTTAACAACTTCATTTGAAATTCTTTTATTGGTGTATTAATCATATTCTATTGTATATTGCACGACTTCTCCCGAGAAACATCTCATCCATTTTTTTTATATCGCACCAAATTATCCGATATTCTTCCACAGTCTTAATCAAGCGCTTATTGTACAAACAATATATATATACATTTATTTATTACGAGATTTATTCGTGATGTATTATTTTGAATTACTCAAACGCATCAAATTGCTTTGTATGCTGATTTTGGGGACGTTTTGTATATCATCTGGTTGGAAATAATGTAGGTGTCATCTCGGTGGTGGACGAGTTGGATTTCGAAGAGCAGCCACACTACGAGCTCATCGTCCGGGCCACGGATTCCGTTTCCGGTGTGCACGCCGAAGTTCCGGTTTCCGTCGTCCTGCAGGACGTCAACGACTGTCCGCCGGAATTTACGCAGGAGAGCTACAACATTTCGATTTCCGAGGCAGCGCCGTTCGGCACACCGATCCTCACAGTCATCGCTAATGACAACGATACTGGCATAAACCAGAAAATAATTTACTCGATCAAGAAGGATAATGGGAATAGCACGGAGTTATTCCATATTGATGAGACAGAGGGGACCATCTATTTGAAACAGTCTTTGGATCACGAAACGGCCAAAAGTCATCATTTTATTGTAATAGCAACGGATCAAGGAGTTCCCAGTTTGAATAGCACCGCTCACGTTTGGTTGCAAGGTATCTGAAGTTAAAAGTGTAATTGTTTGTAAAATATATTCTAAACGTTTTTCGTCCCTTTTAGTGTTGGATATGAATGATAATCCACCGAAATTCGAACAGCCTTCGTATCATTGCGGACTATCCGTCCATGCCAAGAGAGACCAATTCGTAACTATAGTAAGCGCAAGCGATCCGGACTCGGTGGATCAAACGAAACTACGATACACTATTGTAGCCGGCAACGAGCAACAAACCTTCTCCATGGATCCTGATACCGGTGTCATAACTCTGACAAACTTGGCGAATTTTGGAGAACAACGAGCCATGCTTTTGAACGTTTCCGTCTCCGATGGAGTTTACACGAATTTTGCGCGAGTCAAAGTCGAGCTTCTTCCAGCTAATCTGCACACTCCAATTTTCCCAGATGTAATCATGGATGTACAGATTTTGGAAAATAAACCACCAAACACCTTCGTCGTCGAGGTGAAAGCAACCGACTCCGATTTTGGAGAGTTCGGCGCCATCCACTACTCTATACATTCGGACCTTCTGTTGGAATCATTCAACATCGACAAAGTCTCTGGAAGGATTACGACTAGAACTCGATTGGATCGTGAAGCTCAAAAGATGTACGAGATTCCCGTGATGGCATCAGATGGTGGCGACAGGAGCGGCTTCCTTACCGTGCGCGTTAAAGTCATGGACGAAAATGATAACTCTCCGAAGTTCCATTTGCGCGAATACAAGGGTAGCATCCAATCGAATTATAATATCGGCACTCCTTTCATACGGGTAAGCCTCTTATTCTTATTCATCGCCATTATTTTTTTTATAATATTACAAAAAAATACGCTTTTGTAGGTAAGAGCGACTGATGCGGATGAAGGACGATCCGCCAAATTGGAATATAGTATTTACGATGAAAAATCTTCCGGGGTCACCGATATTTTTGCAATCGATGCCAACACCGGTAGTATTAACTTGGTTCAGAAGGCTGGCAAATACGGTTCGTTATTCGTTGTTTCTGTCGATGCCGATTTTCAGTATAATCTTCTTACAGAGGGACAAGTCTTCCAATTCTTTGTGAGAGCTACTGACAATGGGAAACCTCAGAGGCATTCCGACGTCCCGGTGAACATCCTAATTATGGGACCAAAAGATCGACCCCCGATCTTCGAGCGCAAGGACGACAAGTTTTTCGTGTCGGAAAATTCGCCAACCGGTAACATTCAATTTAATTCCCCCTATTGAGACCGTTTTCTATATAAATTGTGTTGGTTGAATGAATAGGTAATGTGATAACTCGTTTGAAGTTGGTTTCGAACGTGTCCGTGAGCTATAAGATCATTTCCGGTTCGGAGGAGGATCCGGAGTTCGCGGTCGATGGTCAGGGCCAGGTCTCGTTGGCACGTCCTCTGGACTTCGAGCGACGCGTCTCCCATCTGATCGGCATCTTGGCCGAAACTGATTCCAGCCCGCCCTTAACGGCCCTCGATGAAATTACTTTGCAAGTACTCGACGAGAATGATCACGCGCCCCACTTTGAGAGCACACCCTACACCCTCAATCTTGCAGAGAACGTTAACGAGGGAACGTCCATATTAAAAGGTACTTTGATTACTCTCACCACTTCCTTTCCTATAGAAAACCTTCAATCGATTCTTCTGTTTCTAGTAATTGCACATGACGAAGATCAGGGTAGCAACGGCGAAGTTCGATACAGCTTTGGCTCGGATTCTGGAGAGGCAATCAACGTTTTCGCGGTGGACGCTTTCACCGGATGGATCACAACTCTTGTTCCGCTGGATAAAGAATCCAAATCCGAGTACAAGTTCAATATAATAGCCACGGATAATGGCACTCCCAAGCATTCGGCCAGGACAACAGTCATCGTAAGGCTGAAGGATTACAACGATAGTCCGTCGGTCTTCAAAAAGAAGTTCTATCAGAGCGCAGTCAACGAGGATGCCCTGCCAGGAACAGTTGTTTTGTCTTTGGAAACGACCGATGCTGATGTGGATTTGAACACGCCCGTTGAATATTACATCACCGCCGGCGATCCAAGCTCTCAATTCCAAATTAGGCAAACCGGTGAAGTTTACGTCGTCAAACCACTTGATCGTGAAACGGTCTCCAGTTATGAATTAGACATTATTGTTACGGATGGAATGTTTACCGACACCACCAAAGTCGCTATAACAATCCTCGATGCTAACGACAATCCACCTTACTGCTTAATGTACAGATACAGGCAGGTCCTTTCCGAAGGAATAATGCCAGGATCATTTGTATTGAACGTTCTTGCTAACGATATAGACGACCAAGAAAACTCCAAGTTGCGATACATTCTAACAGGTGACGGTAGCGAAAACTTCTCGTTGGACAAGGATACAGGCTATTTGAAAACAGTCACTAATTTGGACAGAGAGAACCAAAATAAGTACTTGTTAACAGCTCATGTTCAAGACCGTGAACACAGCGAATGGGAATGCACCTCACGCATTGAATTGATGGTTTCCGATTTGAACGACAATGCACCACAATTTTCTTTACCGTATTATTCCGTCAGCTTGGCTGAGGATGTAGAAGTCGGCACACTAGTTACAAAAGTCCACGCAACAGATGCTGATATAGGTAATTAATTTATGTCATATCTAATAGCATTTTTCTAATAATTTTATTATTTTCAGGAATAAATCGGAAAATAAAATATGCCTTTTTGGACTCTTCTAACAATCACTTCAAAATTGAAAGCGACAGCGGAATCGTTACTTTGGCAAAGCCGCTGGATCGAGAATTGAAGGCCATGTACAATTTAACTGTACAAGTTGTAGATCAAGGCACGCCTAGATTATCTACAATTGCCAGCTTGGTTATTAACGTTCAAGATATCAACGATAATCCACCCGAGTTCGCTTCTAAATATTATTTCGCCGTGGTGCCAGAAATTAGCGCGAACGGAACAGAAGTTGTGCGCGTCCTGGCAACTTCCAAAGATACTGGGGTGAATGCGGATATTTATTACTCCATTATTGGTGGAAATGAGCATAAGAAATTTATTATCAATAATAGGACTGGTGTGATTATGATTTGGGATACATTGGATTACGAAAGAGCGAAAGACTATTTCCTCACAATCCAGGCTATCGACGGCGGAAGTCCACCTCTGAGCAACATAGCCACAGTCAACATCACCGTAACCGATTCCAATGACAATGCACCGATATTTGCTCAGAACTCGTACAGCGCACGCATTCGAGAAGATGCACAAATCGGAGACAAGATTCTTCAAATCGTAGCCACGGATTTGGATAGTGAGGAGAACGGTAGAATCGAGTATTCCATAACGAAAGGAGATAAACATGTACAGTTTTCCATTGATCCCGACAACGGTTATATATCAGTTGGGGACTACTTGGATCGCGAATCAATTTCCACCTATGTCCTGGAGGTTGTTGCCAAAGATCACGGCGTTCCATCCGCCCTTTCGGAGCAAATCAATGTTAATATTGAAATATCCGATGCCAATGACAACCCGCCGCTCTTCTCGCAGCGGAATTACACCACGATCATTCAAGAAGATAAGCCGATCGGATACCCGATTATCAAGTTCATGATTACTGACGCAGATACTGCTCCCAACACCAGTCCATATACATTTGATTTTCGCTCTGGCAATGATGGTAACATTTTTCGACTTGAGCAGGACGGAGTATTACGGACGGCCACGCGATTCAATCACAAGATCAAGGATACGTATGTCCTTCAAATTCGGGTTTTTGATAACGGCACTCCGCCACTGTATTCCGATACGTCGGTCGTGGTAAAGGTGATTGAAGAATCGCAATATCCACCTATCATCACACCTCTGGAAGTCAATATAAATTCGTTCCTAGATGAGTATCCTGGTGGAATCATCGGAAAAGTACATGCTAATGATCAAGACCAATACGATACTTTAACATACTCGCTTTCACCCACTTTAGGGATTAATTATCCCACACACGAATTATTCAAAATCGATCGTACCGACGGGACTCTGACCGCTTTACCCAGATTGGATGTAGGTGATTACAGGCTTAACGTGTCTGTCACTGACGGCAAATACTATGCACATATCATAGTTAAAATCAACGTAGAAATTATATCTGATGATATGCTAGAAAACTCGATTGCAATCCGCTTCCGCGAAGTTACCCCAGAGGCGTTCGTTCTCAGCCACCGGAAAGGATTTGTAAAAGCGGTGCGCAACGCGATGAATTCCAAACTGAGGGACGTTATTATCATCAGCGTCCAACCATCCAATAACGACCTGATGAACTTGCGGGCCAAGAGGCAAGTAATTAGCAGGGATTTGGATGTGCTGTTCACCGTGAAGAAGCCTGACAACGGTTATTACACGGCGGATACCTTGAGGAAGGCGATGAATGATTACCTTGAGGAATTGGAAGAAAGCACAAAATTGGTGGTCGAAGAAATCGTGCGTTTAAAATGTACAAGTTCGTACTGCATGTACGGCGTTTGCCAGGATCACTACATCCTAAACATAAATAAAATTGTTCCCGTATCAACTGAAATCACGAGCTTTGTATCAGCTGCTCATCTGCAAAAATTGGAATGCATATGCAAAGAAGGTAAGCATTTTGTTACAATTTGTGTCCAGTTTTTTTTTGTCTTGCATTTTATATTTGAATGAAAAATTTAATATTTAAATTTTAGGATACGGCGGAGATCGTTGTGATACCATAGTTAATGAATGCGCCCGCGAGCCCTGCCCTACGTATAAAATTTGTATTCCTGATGCATCTGTGCAAGGTTACTCGTGCCAGTGTCCTGAAGGATACGCGGGTACTACGTGCGATGTCGACATCTCAAAATGTCATGACGAATCCTGCTACATTGCACGCAATCCCATCAGCTTCAGCGGGAAGAGCTACTCCCAGTACAGAATCATTAATAAGAAATCTATTGAAGATCAGCTCAGCCTGAGCCTGCGAATCCGAACAATGCAGCCCACTGGGAATCTCATGTATGCTGCCGGAAAAGTGGATTACAACATCCTGGAAATTGTGAACGGAGCTGTGCAGTATAGGTTTGAGTTGGGCAGCGGCGAGGGTGTAGTGCGAATCTCGAGCATTTATATTTCGGACGGACGGTGGCACGAAATTCGCTTGGAACGCGACAGGAACAGCGCGAGGATCACCATAGACAACATTCACACGGCGCAAGGATCGGCGCCGGGAATTAGCGACATTCTGAATCTTCAAAGCGACGAAATGTATTTGGGAGCGGAAGTCCACCAGCATCCATCAATATTGGGCTTTGAAGATATCCAACGCGGTTTCTCCGGCTGCATGGATGATGTAAGGATCTCGAGAGTATCGGTGCCGTTGCACAAGAGTGGAGACAGCTCAGTTGCGGTGTTGAAGCGGTTCGCCAATGTGGAGTTCAGCTGCGACGCCTCGACCGTTCTGACGCCTCTAGGAGCTTGCGGCTCTCAGCCTTGCATGAATGGAGGAACATGTAAAGAAATCATTGGAGGATTTGAGTGTCAGTGCCATGAAAGGTACAAAGGTACATTATGCGAGTTAGATACGGATCCTTGCGCTTCCGCGCCATGCCTTTACGGTGGCAAATGCACCGCGACTATAGGAGGCGACTATACTTGCGATTGCATCTTCAGAATGACTGGTAAACGTTGTGAATATGGCCGTTATTGCGCACCAAATCCTTGCAAAAACGGTGGCGTGTGCGAGGAAGGTGACGAGGGTCCACTGTGCAAATGCAGGGCTTTTACGGGTGAATTCTGCGAGTTCGATTTGGACGAGTGCCTTTCATCGCCCTGTTTGAATGGTGGCAAATGTGTCAACAATATTGGTTCATTCCACTGTATCTGCCCGCAAAACACTTCCGGCTCTTATTGTGGAAATCCTTTATACTCTACTAAAATCATCTCGAACACCTTCAACATCACACTAGAAGAGCTCATTGGAATTATCGCCGTCGTCGTCTCTATACTTATAATAGTATTCTGCTTTATCCTGTGTTTGAGGTGTAGAAACAGGAGGTCGAGGAGAAGCGCAAATATGATCAACAATGAAACGAGAAAGGAAAACCAAATCGTATTAAACTCGAATAGAAATCATGAACTGATAGAACTTAAGAGAGGTTCCAAGTTAAGTAACTTGGAGGTGAATCAGCGGGAAATTCCGCCGGCAAGGCCGTTATCATACGGCAGCGCCAATGAACAGCATAATAATATGGTGTTGAATAACTTGGACACCCTAAGGAGCTATGGTTCTGCCGGTGACGAGCTTGAAAACATGCCTCCAGCCTATGGCAAGAACCTGAACAGGAGCTCGCAACAAAGTGGATTGGGGAACCACTGCGATTCGGAAAAGACAACGTGGGCAGACCAGATGCATTTAGCTTCTACGTTAAATGAAAAAGCAAAAATCAAAAACGGTAAGTACAACCCCTAATGATGAAGTTCTTTCTCTCTTCTTGACAATATGAATCCTTGTGGTAAAGTGCTTATTTACATTTGTTGCTTGCTTGCGCTAGTAGAGGACTTTACAACTGAGGATCTTGTCTAAGTATTTCCCTGATATATCGCCACTCTACTGACATCGACATTAAGACTTTAAATTTGTAGATTTTAAGACGAGCCCGGTGAATTGCGACCCCCCTAACAGACTTTACGGAGGCCGCAGTAACACCATTGCAACCCACAAACACATAAACGGACCCACGAACATTCCAGAAGATGACCAAAGAAGCGTTGGAAGTAAGTGCATCCCCATTCGTGTTATGTGTACGTCCATTTATATTTACGTATCTTCAAACCTAGATTTCGCAGGCTACCATTGGGACTGCTCGGACTGGGCCAGACACAGCCAGACCCTGCCCAACATCACTGAGGTGCCAGGAAGCGAAATTCCCGACTCTTCCAGCTTCCACAGCAACGAGAGCAACGAATCCAGGAGTCATCACCTGGCTCTCAACCACATGGACACGCGAAGAGACATAGGAACCCTAAACGAGGACATTGAGTCGGAATTCATGGCAGATAGCGAGTGCGAGAACGCAGCCAGTCCAAACCTAAATGCTTTAGATAGCGGAAATGAAGAATTTAGATTTACCACAGGTAAGCCTTTCAATAAATCAATTACTTCAAGAAAAACACTCTTCCGAAGAAATAAATCAATTCATTTTGCGAAAACATTTTATATTATAGGCTGGAAAGAGACTGCCTTGTAATCATTAGTAAGTCACTGTTTTGTGTGTGTTTTCCTTCCCACAATTATTCCCGCCCTAAAATGATAATATTGATTAATATCTTGACTATCGTTTGAAACTAATTATGTGTGTGTATTTTCTTTTTGCTGTCACTTGCATCAGTGCCTTTAATTATTGTTAAACCATGTGAGTAGTAGTATTATCTAACTGTTTGTACGGACCCAACTTCGTATCAGCCACCCCCCAACTTCTTGTTACTAATCGAAGATGAAACGTTACAGCGGAGAATTATTTGCGACACCCGAACACCTATCTTCCGACTCATGGTTTTAACATACCTAGTGAAGCGGAAGGCGATAGTCTACATAGTCCAGGCGCGGATTCAGATGATGTCGAACCCTACGGATTCCCCAGCAACCGCAACCGACTCAAGAATTGCGACGACGACCTCGAATCAATCATTACTACTTTAGGTAAGCAACCCATAAAGCCTTCACTTAATCTGGATTAAAACTATATTATGTGTGTATTTGCAGAAGAGCGCCATTCTCTATTGGGAGGTTACGGAAGCAACAGCGACATGTCGACGAATCTTTGCGAAATCGAGGATTCTGAATGTGAGAATGAACATAAGCCCTTGAACTATTTAGGCGGCGTTCAGCAGACTTCCGTTTGACATCTGAATTTATGATATAACCATGAGTCTACTCGTTTCCTGGGCCATCGCGTGGCGATGGGCGTCGTTTCTTGTTTACATTTTATTTTTCTCCAAACCGGAAATGGAAACATCAAACTCACCGCCGTCGTTCATTATTATTATTTGTTTAGGAATTGAAAATAATAACTTCTATAATAACGTTAAAATAACTACATTCATTTTATCATAGTCTTTGCATATCAAACGGAATGATATGGATATTGTTAGAGAAAATTGTAGATGTATACTTTTATTTTATTTTTTTGTTCAAATTGTAAATACTAAATGAAATTCAATTATAATGGAAAAGTAAATATAAAAAGAATTATGAAAGAAAATATAAACAAATATATTGAGAGACAGATGGAAATATTTTTTTAAAAAAAATAATAACATTTATTAATTTATAATATTGTTTATAGTTTAATGATTGATTTGTTGACTGTATAGAATGAATGTTTGATGTGAACTATCTTGATCTTTTTTATAATGATAATTTTGTAAAAATATTTATATTTTAAGAGGAAAAAAATGTGCCTATGAATTTATAGAGCTCTTGAATATAGCAGCTCAAATAACTGATAACTTTTATAATATTATTAAGAGAACTTTTTTTAGTAATAATATAAAAAGAAAATGCGACAAAAAAAATATATAATACGAAACCGTTTTCATTATACGTTGTACGATTTATAATTTTATAGAGATGTGTAAAAGCAGAAACAAATAATGCCGTTCTTCTTGTTCCGTTATAGTTTAGTGTATTTAGGTTCCAATGCATGTGATATTATTTAATTTGTCTGAAAGAATGTAGTAGTTCTGTTTCAAATTATGTTTACCCTCCATACAAACTGTAATTTTTAATGTTTTTTTTTATTTCAATGAGAACCAATAAAGCTATGATTTTACACAATTTGGTTTTAATTATAATTTAACTTTTCATATGTGCTGAACCTCTTACAATGTGTGCTGAATAAAGAAGATTACTTCGTTTTACATTTATTTAAGTCATAACTAATAAATATTGGATGGAAATATAAACTTTGCTCAAATTGCAGTGAGGAATTTACGAATATTCAATACAAAAATTATTTAAAAAAAATCAATTATTTTATTTTTTATTTAATAAGTAGTTTATAAAATTATAACTAATTAAAGAACTAATTAATATCATGTTCTTTAACTATTAATTCCAAATTTGAAAAACTATATTTAAAAAAAAACATGCTTTTCTAGTTTATCCCTTGAAGAATCTTGAATTCCGATTAATAATTCCAATAATTAGCTTAAATGGAAATGCAATATTAAATATAGAACATTTTTTTGTTGTACAATATTGTTCCATGTCTCTTTTAACTAAATTTTTATGAAGCAGTAAATTGTAAAGTCTTATTGATTTAAATATTGCAATTTCGTTTTCAAAATATGAAATGAATATTATTAACCTTTAACTACTCGCACGCTGAAATTTCTATGTACTACTCGCGCGGTGTATTTTATACACCACGCGTGTTACACCAAGACAGAGTGCATACATGATTGTATTACGACAAGTTTTTCATGTTAACTAATGCTTTTTTATTAGATTCATAACTATTTGTAATACATTAATACAATAATTTCTGAATCACATAAGCGTGAGTAGACAGGTATCAGCATCGTCTGCTATTACAGCAACACTGCACAACTTCTTGGGCCGCAGTCAACACAATATTGCACTGGCGTTTAGTAAACACTTTGGGCATAAGTTACGTTACTTTTTTCACCGGCCCGAGTAGTTAAAGGCTAACATAATTATATCTACTTTACTGTAGATATATACAATTGGTTGTAAAAACCCATAAATTTATGATTAATAAATTTTTTGCGCAAAATATTACTATAAACTATTGTCCAATTTTTGTACAATTTGTGAAGAATCCTCTATAACAGCGTTTTCCAAACTAGCAGTGAGCAATTTTCCAAATATCTGCTAAAGTTTTATGTCTTTTATGAAATGAAGGGGGAGAGGAGGCGCCAAATGATTACATACTTTTGAGGGAGGCGTAGTAACATCAAGTTTGGAAACCACTGCTCTATAATATATGAATATGGATCAATAAGATAACTATAATTTATTTCAATTGAATAAATGTGCCAATACTAAGACTATTGTCTGAAGATGGTACAGTTGTTGAAATAACGAAATTAATTGTAATTCGAACAAGCCTGAGAGATTTTGATTCAATTTGAGCACTGCGTGCAGATTCTTAGTAAAAATTGGATCTGATATTGAAGAAATTGATTTCCACGGTCTGGTAATTAGTATTAATCATTTCTTAAACTTAATTTTGCTTTTTTTAATAAGTAATATTGTATTTCTTTAATGTTTTCTTTTGTTACACATGATTTTCAATTTTAAAAAATACCGGTAATTTACCGATTAACTGGTTTATACTAAAGATATTTATCGTTTACCAGTAAATAAAAATGAAACGATCAAACTGTTATGTGTTTACATAATTAAAGCGATCAGAAGGAAAGTTTCTGACTATTATGAAATAGGTGAAAATTAATTATAAAATGCGCAAAAACTTTTTTAAACTGTTGCGCGCCATCTGTATTACAATTGCAAATATACAAAGAAATTACAAGTTACAAAAGTTTGGTCATGTATATAGTCAACCAAATATACAAGAAATTCATTTTAGTTCTATATTTTTTTGCTATTGGTACATACATTTTAACTTTTCCATTTTATTTTTCTTTACTTGTTGTGCAGTAATTGTATATTCGCAGGATTTCAAATCATTCCTTTACTGTTTCTTGCTTTGAGAGTGGTTTTTGGTCATGAATGATAAATTGAAACAAAAAATGAGTACTGCAGAGCAATCGAATCCCAATTTAACAGAAGAATCCGGCGATGATTTGGTAAGTTTTACATATTAACAATAATTCTTTAATCTTCTTGTGCATTTATTCATGAAAAAAAAATACATTTAATAATAACCCATGCTGCACATGGATATACATAATTCTATAATCACAAAATTATATGATTTTCTTTTGAGCAGGAGGAAACTTCTTCTGTTGCAAGCACATCAACCACTGATACAACATCCAGAAGTGCTACCCCTGTTAATAGTGTTAGGAAAAGGAGAAGGGGGAAGAGGAAAGGATCTCTCAACAAAGCTCAACAAATTTATAAATTTACGTAAGTTCTTGCTACAATTCTATAAATGTATTTTTGTTTTAACACTTTGATACTATAGATGCAACATAAAGGAGGACCATGGACAACCTCTATTTGGAGCTCAATTTAATCATCATCTTAAGCCAGGTCAACCAATGATATTTGCTGCTGTCGGTTCCAACAGAGTATCTATTTATGAGTGTCCAGAACGTACCGGTTTAAAATTATTGCAGTGCTATGCAGATCCAGATGTAAGTAATAATTTCTTTATATAAAGACAAAATTTGAGTCTGTTGATTTTAGCTTGATGAAAACTTTTACACATGTGCATGGTCATATGAAGAAGATTCTGGGAAACCTTTGCTTGCTGTTGCTGGAGCTAGAGGCATAGTGAGAATATTAAATCCAGCAACGATGCTTTGTGTCAGACATTATATTGGTCATGGCCATGCAATCAATGAGTTGAAATTTCATCCCAAAGATCCGAATTTGCTACTCTCTGTTTCTAAAGATCATGCGCTGAGGCTGTGGAATATTAAGACTGATGTTTGCATCGCTATTTTTGGCGGTGTTGAAGGGCATAGGGATGAAGTCCTAAGTGCCGACTTTGATCTCTTCGGTCACCGAATTATTTCCTGTGGTATGGATCATTCCTTAAAACTGTGGAAATTGGATAAAGAAAGCATGAATGATGCCATAAAGCAATCATACCAATGGGTTGCCAACAGAAGTACAAAACCGTTTGATTCCTTGAAAGAACATTTCCCAGACTTTTCCACCAGAGACATTCATAGAAATTATGTCGATTGTGTAAGGTGGATAGGAGATTTTATTTTGAGTAAGTCTTGCGAGAATTGCATTGTTTGCTGGAAGCCAGGTAGATTGACAGATACAAAATTGAGACCGGGCGATACTACCTCCACTGTTATTCACCGATTCGAATACAAAGAATGTGAAATTTGGTTTGTAAGGTTTGCCATGGATTTCTGGCAAAAAATATTGGCGTTGGGTAATCAGGTTGGAAAGGTCTTCGTGTGGGATTTAGATGTACCTGATCCTGCTCAAGCCAAATGTTATACTCTGCAACATGCTAGATGCACCACAGCCATAAGACAGACAAGCTTGAACAGAGATGGTTCAGTTTTAGTATATGTTTGTGATGATGGCACAGTTTGGAGATGGGACAAAATATAATAGTCTATATGTCATCATTGATTTTATTCCTTAATAATCATAAAATTAGCTAGTTGTAAGCACTAATTGTAATATCATTTATTTTTTTTCAAACAATTTTATAGTGAAATCATTTTATAATAATTGTTCAATATATTTTTATATAATCAAAACAATTTTCATTTGTACAACCTATTTGATGCTCATAAATTATTAGATAGCATAAATCATAATTTATTAGCAATCAATACTTCCAGCACTCAAATATTACATATTTGCTGTATTATCCTAGTCTTCCTTTTGACCTGAAGCTAATTGAGCTCTTTGCACTCTTTTACCAAAGGTTTTAGGTAAGCTTGGTTTACCAATAGTTGCATTCATTTTTGTAGGTGGAACATACAGTTCATATACTCTAAAATACTTTAAAATATTCTCTGAAAATAATAAATGAAAATAAAAACATGTTTTTTTAAAAAAATGTAGAAAATAACTTACTAACTTTTTCTTCTGACAGTAAATAATCATCAGATATTTTGCTAGATGTCCATACAGCAGGATTATTTTGATGCTGAGATATAAATTCTAAAGCTTGCTTAAGTGTTATTTTACCATGAGGAACTATTGTAGGTTGCTTTACTCCATATTCAAAATCTTCCACAGGTTTCCTATCAGTGGGTAAAGGCTTATTAGGATCCTGTTCTTTGATAACCTATCAACATAAAAAAGTTAGTAAAAAAAATGTAAATACAAGAATCATATACACAACCTCTGCATCATTTGAAATAACATAGATATCTTTCAAATGTTTATCCAATACATGATGCTTCTTTCGGCTTTCCTCTACAATATCTGGGTGATCTACAAAATATACAGATATTACAATCATGAATATATGATCACAGAAATAAACCTTACCATGTAATATTTGTTCATAGTTCATTTGATCAGCTTTATGTTTTGGAGCTGCTGTAGGTTTATTCTTGGAAACAGCTGCATGAGCCCTTCCTTCTAAGTTGAAATTCCTCAAGGGATTTCGAATAGTTGATAGTGCCTTTCCCATTATATCATATTTACTATTTTTTGGTTAGGTATTTAACATCACTGAAACACTCAAAAGTAAATATTGATTAAATAATTAAAGTAAATTACTATTTCATTTAAGAAAATCATTAACATGTTCTGTTAATATATTATTTTATATTTTTTTTTATAATTTTAAAAACAATTTTAAGTTATCAACTGAAGAAAAATGTAAATTAAGTTGCATACAGTTTTGTATATCAAAAAGATAATTTTTTTATTGTTTTCATTAATTTTCATATACTAATTAAACAAAGAATATATTAATTTTGTTGTATATAGTAAATATTGCTGTTTCCTTAAATTCTATATTTAACAAAATATATATAAAAATTTATTGTGCAGAGGCGCAACACTAGAAATATTTAAAGATTTCTTCACGTAATGTTTATTAAATGATTGTCGTTTATAACTACTTATAGTACTATAATTTTGCAATAGATTAGTTTAAAATATTTGGAGTGAATAATATATTAATTTACAGAAATTGTCGTTTTTTAATCCTAATGGATAAAAGCGTACGACAATGGTTATGAATGTTGCTTCTATGTAACTATAAGTTATTGCCAATTTATGTAGTTTGACTTGGTACATAGTATAATATCATATATAATAAATAAGGTATATAAAATATTAAAAGTATAGGTGAGAATTATTATTTAATTTCTGAAAATACGTTTAGAAGGGCTGAAATTGTGAAATAATGTTCTTGATCTTGGGGACTTTAATCTTGGTATCGTTGGCAGCTTCTGGAATTTGACACTCCGTAAGATGGCCGAAACCTAATCCATTCAGAAATTTTCTTTGTTTTCATTTCAGTTTTAAGTGCCTTAATGCGTTTAGTTTGATGAAATTGTTGTATTTTCAAAGTTTCCCCATAAAATCCTATTGGAAGAGACGAGTGCAGAAGGTGTTCCAGTGAGTTCCATCAGAGTGCATAAAAAAAGTGTCAATGCAGTGTTGTTAAATTCCAAATAGAATGAGATGGATTGACGTTTTTTAAAAGTGTCAATTCTCGTGGAATTTTGGACATTTTATGTATTAGAAATCGTTTACTAAAAATACGAGTTGTTTGAGTGGATTGTTATACAATGCCAAAGAATGTGAATGGAATGCCATTAGAGTGAGATAGTAATTTGGCACATAGTTCAGACATTGATTCAGGACCCTGGATTAAAAGATTGTGATAGGCCTGTTTTTCTGGATTGGGACAGTCTTAACTGGAAATATGTGTGTTCTGGATGGAGGCTGGTGTGGAAAGTTAAGCACCATGTAAAGTGAGATCATGGGCCAGCATCCCGGCCAAATCATCATGAGTAACAGTGCACCAGCCCGGTCGCCGGGCTACCACCAAAAGGCCATGGAGGTGATCCACAATTCACTCCTGCCATTTGCAAAGAGTGGTGGTGAGGTCTCCAGTGCGGCCAGTACTATATCTAATTTATCTGTAACTAGTGGAGTCAGTTCATTGAATAGTTCATTGTCTGGTTCAAATGGTGCAGATAAAGAATTAATCCTGTTAAAACAAACACTTACTCAATTACTTAACATGGGTTACCCAGAGGAATCTTCATTTAGGGCTTTGAAATTCAGTGGTGGTAGATTGGATGGAGCAATTGATTATCTCTCGAAGCAGCAGAATGATGTTGGGAATAAGATTAAACTAAATAGGAAACCTAGTATAGAAAGAGAGATCTTGCATAGGGGCTCACCAGCATTGGACAGTGGCGCTGGAAGTTCTCGATCTGATAGCCCTAGATTAATTGATCCTAGCCGCCAGTACTCTCCTAGCAGTTTCAGTGAACCACCCCCACCTCCGCCGCCACGAAATACGCCACCGCCGCCCCCACCTCATGCACCTTATCAATCAGTCTCAAATGTACAGCAAATGCTAAAGAGGATGTCTCCTGCTCCTGTTGTGCCTGCCAGACCGCCTCCTGCTATCCCAGGTTACAATTCATCAGCGTCATCTCAAAGAGGCACTAGTCCGGTATCAAATGTCTCAAGTTCTTCAGGAAGACAACCAATGGTTGTTCAAAATGGTCCTCAAGTACAACAACAACTATCACAGCAAATACAAGCTTTGTATCAAAACTCTAACTCAAATTCTGCTGAACCCCCGCCTCCCTATCCTCTAATACCCTCGCAACCGTCGGCTCCACCTCCACCACCTTCATACACAACTGCTATACAAAATCGCCAAAGCCCTACGCAAGATTTCCGGAAAAGTCCATCGTCGGGAATCTATTCTGGTTCGACTTCTGCGGGCTCGCCAAGTCCTATACCTGCATCCACTGCGACTCCTACCCCTATTAGCAGACCTACTGCAATGCAAGCTTGGAGCTCCCGTCAAGCCAAAACTCAGCCGCCAATAATTATGCAATCTGTGAAAAGTACGCAAGTACAGAAACCCGTTCTGCAGACGGCTATTGCCCCGACGTCTCCTCAAATACCTTCATCACCAACTAGTACTACCCCGCCTGCCACCCAACCACCACCTCCATCATACAACGCATCCATTCAACAGAAGCAGTATGCGAAGCCTGCAGCACCACTACCCACTCAATCACCAACTGCTACATCAAATAACGTAACTGTCCCGACAACAGAACCGCCCAGCTACGCCAGTACCATGCAAGCTAAGGCTAAAGCCGTGCATAGAGGTATTGGACATTCGCCACTACCACCACCCCCATATTCAGATGATTCTCATTGTGCTCAAGTGGCGACCGTCGAAAGCACCATCTCACCGAGAGCCTCTCCACATGTACATCCTCCACTGCAACGGAAATATTCTCCAATTATTGATCGTTCAGACAGTCCACAATCGACGGCTTCTTCTGACGGTCGGCCTCCCTGTCCGGCATATCCAGACTCCATGGCACCACCACTACCACCAACCGGTAAGAAATATATTGCAATTCTTTTCCATTATTTGCAATATTTATTTTACAGCTTCTTCATCAGTTAGTTCGAAGAGTAATTTGATGAATGGCATGAACAATAACGGAGATCATCATCGAGATATCCCGCCGCAGTTGCCTCCTCACAAAATTAAGCACCAGTCGCCAATTCCCGAACGCAAAAAGATCAGCAAGGAGAAAGAGGAGGAACGGCGCGATGGCAAAGTGAAGAACTACTCGCCGCAGGCCTTTAAATTCTTCATGGAGCAGCATGTCGAGAATGTGATTAAATCTTATAAGCAGCGTGTCTTCCGCAGGATGCAATTGGAGAACGAGATGACCAAGATTGGTCTGAGTCCTGAGGCGCAGATGCAGATGCGAAAGATGCTTTCGCAAAAAGAGTCGAATTACATTCGGCTGAAGCGCGCCAAGATGGACAAGAGTATGTTCGTTAAGATAAAGCCAATCGGAGTGGGCGCTTTCGGCGAGGTGACACTGGTCAGGAAAATCGATACAAACCATTTGTATGCAATGAAAACGCTGAGGAAGGCCGATGTCCTGAAACGCAATCAAGTGGCTCACGTTAAAGCTGAACGCGACATTCTTGCGGAGGCAGACAACGAGTGGGTCGTTAAGTTGTACTATTCCTTCCAGGATAGTGATATCTTATATTTTGTTATGGATTACATACCTGGAGGTGATTTAATGGCATTACTGATTAAATTAGGAATTTTCAAGGAATCTTTAGCAAGGTATTTTATTTCCATTGCATTCAATAATTAATCACGTATTAATTATATTATTTTTTAGGTTTTATATTGCTGAATTGACTTGCGCAGTTGAAAGTGTTCACAAAATGGGTTTTATTCATAGAGACATAAAGCCAGATAACATTTTGATCGATAAAGATGGCCATATCAAGTTGACGGATTTCGGCTTATGCACAGGTTTTCGGTGGACGCACAATTCAAAATACTATCAACCCAATGGTAAGTAACTCAACGAATAATGTCTTGTTATTTGGTTCTGATATTTACGTAACGGTGTAGGCGAACATGCCAGGCAGGATAGTATGGAACCTGTTGATGATTGGAACGAAGAATGTCGTTGTAAGCCGCTGGAAAGAAGACGCTTAATGGAGCACCAGCGATGCTTAGCTCATTCTTTAGTCGGAACACCCAATTACATAGCACCTGAAGTTCTCTTGAGAACCGGGTATACTCAGCTATGCGATTGGTGGAGCGTGGGAGTCATTTTATATGAAATGCTAGTTGGAAGTCCCCCGTTTTTGGCAAACACACCTGCAGAAACGCAGTACAAGGTATATTCCATTTTTTTCAATAACTTTGCCCATTCAATTATATCAATTAAATCTCTTAATTTCTCTAGGTGATTAATTGGGAAACTAAATTGAATGTACCGAAAGAGCCGAATCTATCGAAAGAAAGTCAAGATTTGATATTAAAACTGTGCTGTAGTGCTGATAAGCGGATAGGTAAAAATGCTAGTGAAGTGAAATCGCACGCTTTCTTTAAAGACATAGACTTCGATAAGGGGCTGCGAAAGCAGAAGGCACCCCACATCCCGAAAATCGAATACGCAACGGACACGTCCAACTTCGATCCGATAGATCCAGACAAGTTGCGCAATTCGAATTCGATGGATTCCACGAATTCGGATGACCTGCAGATGACCTCCGAGCCGTTCCACGGATTCTTCGAGTTCACCTTCCGCCGGTTCTTCGACGACGGAGGTGCGGTTCCCTTCAATCGATCCATAAATCTGGACGACAATGACAACCAGGGTCCCGTCTACGTATGAAACTACAGTTTCCCCGACAAAAGTGATAAACTACAATTTTAAGATGTAACCCGTGGCCTTTATCTTGCCTTAATTAAATAATTTCAGCAGAAGGTAAGAATAGAATATTTATTTATATGAATCGAGGGGTACATGAGAATGTTTTTTTTTTCAAAAAAAAAAAAAGAAAATCCGGTGAAGTAGTAATTTTAGAAATATGAGCTTCATGCAATTGGCTGGCCCTAAAAATAATAGCAATCTTTGGGAGGAAACTAATTACCAAAATTTATATATATAATATACAGGGTAGTTAAAGAGAAATATATTTTTATATATATTTATTTAGAGAGAGAAAAAAAGGAAACTAATGTGATAAATTTATAAACGAGACGAATTTGGTGATTCAATTTGAAAGTATACGAATGAATGAAGTTGATGTTTCCTCCCGCTCACTACATACAAATATATGTACCCTTTGAAGTTGCTAAGTTCACTAAAGTATTTAGTTTTGACTCCAAATAAATTATCCCGTAATAACAGACACAAACACGATGACCATTTTGATTAGAAATCTTTAAATTCTCTTGATCTTTGCAATCATTTTTTGGTATATAATATAATGCATTCGAATATATCTATATATTTATGTGACATGCGAAAGGATTTAACAAGACCGACAATTATCACAATAATCGACAATAAATAATACACCCACATACATATATAAATATATATAACGTTTTTTTTTTGTAATCATACTAAGTAGCATTATTTTTTAACGTCCTCTTGCTAAATGCCTTCATATTAATCATAATCTTGTTTAATAATAAAAAATGGTGCTACAATTTATTATTATTATTTTTTTGTTATCGTACAGTAATGTGATAATACTGGCTATCCATGTGTTGTTAGACTTTTGTTTTAATTTTTTTTTGCTAAAGAAGGTTTAATTGAAGAAAAAAAATCTAAACTTCTATTCATGTATGATATTATGTTACTAATTGTTACGTGTGTGTTTATGTATAATTAAAAAAATATATATATATTACTATTTTACTCGCGTCTTTGTAAATATAATTGTAGTTAATATAATTATCCATTTACTTTCTGGAGTAGCTATGTATTTTGTTTATTTTTATTTTTTTGTAAGTGTTATCCGGGATTTCGCGACCGGAAGAAAAGTCATGTAGTATTGTTTTCTCTTTATAATTTGTAACAGTTTCTTAAATTATTTGTATTAAATTAGGTTTTTAATTATTTAAAACGTTATTAATCTTAATCATCATTATTATTTTTATTATTATTATTTTCTTCTTTGAGATAACTTGTGGAAAACGTGGAGCCAAGAAAAACCCTTAAATCTGTTTGTATCATATGTATAAAAAAAATACTCTATTTGTCTCCTCTTTCTTTCACATACACATAAACTTCTCTCTGTCTCTCTTTTTTTTATTATCTCGTTTTCCGTTTCTTTTCCCTTTTGTAAATATAAATATTTGTAAATTAATCTAAATAACAACGACAATAAACTTAAATTGCTTCTTTTATTTTATTTTCATTGGTTGGTTCATTGTTTCATTCAATTTCATCCATTTTATCATCAAACCTTTTGTTTTCTCAGTTATGAATTAGATTATGCAAAGAGGAGCACAAATAAAGACTGTTTTTTGTTCTAGTATGTACATTTTTATCAAATCGTCAGGTAAGTAATTGAATGAAATATATTATTGTAAATCAATACAGTGATTTTTTCTCCAATAATGTAATTTTCAGAATTTTTTTTATCTATTATTCCTAGATTAGATTGCAACCTCTCAATTGAATTATTGACAGTTTACGTAATCACGTAAAATATGTTTCAACCGTTTGTCCCCATTTCTTTTGTATTGAATATTTTGTTTACTTAGTGACATAAGTACAGTATAAATACAAAGTTTAGTCATGTGTTTAAAGTAATTTTATTTATGATATATATTCAGTTGCATTGTTTAAATGTTATCAAGTAGACTTAGTAAGCAAGTGTCAATATGAATTATACAGAAAAAGGCTCTTAATTTATTGAATAACAGGCTTACTCAAAGATTATGAGTTTTTATTAGATATTAAGATAATCATATGTAAGCATAATTCATTCCATTTATTTACTAAACTTTTACATTTTTTTGTAAATTATTCAAAAATTCCATCTCTATTATTTTCTTATAATTTTTATTGGTTTTTGCTTGAGCAAAGTACATATTACTTTAATAATTACAATTATTATGCAGCCACTAAAGTATTTAGCCATTATTAGTGAGAACACTTGTATATTATTAGTGAGATACACTGAAATAAGGAAGCACTTAATTTTGTTGAACCCAGAGGTTATTTACTAAACATGCATCCAATAAGAAAGCAAAATATATGGCTTCTCGGCGGACTTGGAGATTCAGAGAGTATTTTATTGCAGAGGCAACCAATATAAACTGCAACTACACTCTTTTGAGCACAGAAATAAAGAAAAGTATTTTTATAATTTAGTTGAAAGTATACTACAAATAATGTATTTGTAGTGAATATGCAATAATTTTGAGAAACATTGCATTTTTGTAGTTTTTTAAAATTAGTAAATTTTATAAGAACATTTTTTTAAGTTTACTGAACAGTAAACAAAAGTTGAAATGTTTATGTTTGTACTATAATCATATGGAAGCATGGTAGTGTTTTCAAAAGTCAGATTTTCTTCGTAATTTACTATTTCCCTGACGGGAGAGCCTCTGTCGACGACTGATACTTAGGGCTTCCATTACCGGTTTTACCGGCCCATTTGATTACCGCTAAATTATCATAAGAAATACAGGTAATTTTATTTTACTCGGATATTTAAAGTGATGTTGTACATGAAGATATTTTGCCAATTGTAAGTAAAATCCGACAAAAATAAACGTACTGATACCAATCACAGTTGCAGTAGATTCCGTGGTCCAAGCTGTACTTATAGCTTCTTGTTGAAACTCTGCAAGAGTATGTTTCAAATTTTACTGGGTAGTATAGCCAACATAAGTTTAAATTACTGTGTTTTCATTAACCAAGATGGAAGCATTTCATTGCATTCGGTAAAACTTCAATGTAAGTTATTGCTTAGATATTTATTAGACAATAAGTGAGAATTTTTTTTATAATATTATATAATCCAATATGGTAAGCTTAAGATGGTAAGCTCGAAACTTATGCCAAATATTTTAACATTCAAACCAGTAGACTTCGCAGTAGGAGCGCGCCTAGGGCCTCCAAATCAGGTTGCTCCTAGGGCCTCACAAAGTCATGATGCGCTACTCAAAAGGGTGTTTCAAAAATAAGTATGTATTAATAAAAGATATATGTCTTCTATACTAATCTAATCTAATTCTAAATGTTCCAAGTATGTAACTTAGGTCGTACATTATGCGTATACGTATTTTATGTCTTATAGGAAACTCTGCAAGAGTATCTTTGAAAGTTTACTGATCAGTGCAGCCAACAAAAATTGTCATTATTATGAATGTTAAAAATAATATTTTTTGAAAGTTCATCCAGCGGGAATTGTATGACAAACTGTATTATTGGTTGCCAGGTTGGTTGGTGAAACTGTGAGAGTACGGTGGGAGTTTGCGCGACTTGCTGGCAGCTGAATAACGGGTGTAGGAAGGAAGGAGGCGCCGTTCGAAGACGTGTATTGGTGTATATATGTGCATGTATGCGTATATGTGTGAGTTCGCGAGAGAGAATACAGTACGGGACGCCATTTTGTCTGTGCTGGACTAGAGCTACATTTTCCAGAAAAAGCCACTTCCGGAAAACCGCCAGAGACCTAAAGAGCCGTGACGCAACCTGTAATGTATCTGTGATAAGGTGTTTTGAAGGTATTCGAGTCTGGCATGATTTCGTAGACATTTCCGAGTTGTCTGCATAGAGTGAAAAAAAAGGGGGCGACATCAAAAAGGAAGGATACAGCTATTATATATATATCTACACGTATAAACGCATATAAACGGTACTACAATTTTGTTGTGCATAGACTTCTAATTAGATAACGAGAAAATAGAAGAAAGATAATAAGAAATTATATCGTGGGTGTGTAGAAACGTATTTCAATCAAGATGAGTTCTAGAGACGACGAGTACGACTATCTCTTTAAAGGTGAGTACAATCCACAATTAATGGTTGATATTTCAACATGACAGATTCAGCCTTGGATCTGCTCCGAACAATACCCGATTTGACGTGCAGCCTGTCAATCTGTTGACAAGTCACCAGTGTCAAGGGTCACTGCGGTTCCAGCTATGTTTCCATCAACCAACAACAAAGCCTTCCCGAGTCCGATCAATTGCCTTCCTCCCCTTTATGAATCTTTAATCATAACTTCAACATTTTCGTGTGATTCACCATTGCAGCATTACTCATAACATTGTTGGTCCATTGATCATTCATTAACACAAATTTGTAGAAAACCAGAAATGGAAAAACTACAACAATGGGCGATCGCATCAACTATTCCAATCTATAATTTTCCCCCTTTTCAACTGAATCAATCAATACTAGCATAATAAATGCACACGTTCTAAATTTACCTCTATGTTGGTGATGTTGGCACATGATTTACATGCTCAAAGCAACTATAATGATCTCATAAATTTCCAATGTTTGTGTGTTAATTTCAATTTCGGTATAGATTCATTATCCTGTGTAGAGGCTCTAGCTGTACAGACTGCTTAAATGTGCAAGCTACAAGTATTAAATTCACCCAGAAGAGCTGTAACAAAGGGCCTCCCACCACTAATTGAATTAATGTGTCAGGGGTTGAAGAGCTCTCCTCTATATAATAGAAGTTAAATGGTGTGGATTAAATTAGTGTAAAAATGCCAAAGCCATTTTTGTCACTTAAAAGGTCATGCACTCAATTTATTCTTCTAACACTCATCAAATGTCATATTGATTTTTATGTTCAATCCTTTTAAAACTATAGCTTTATTATTGGGAGTTTTATTATCAAAATTCGCGTATTTATTACGCGTAGAGTATATGGATGTTATCTTTTTACCAACAAAAGTAATACAATAGAGGGTGTTGCTCATCAGGTAATTGGTTTCCCTCCTTCTATATAGGTACTCTATTTGAAGAGCGACATTACAGTGCATTTGTAAATGAACCTTTAATACTGCACATCACGTATCCAATTTGTAATGGACATACATGAATTCTTGAATACTAAAAGATATTAATATTTTACGAATTTGTACATATTCTTCCAATATTAATGCATTTTGATAAGTTTTAAACAAAGATAAACCAATGCGAGGAAAATACACTCATCCTGTTATTACGTTATGTCGCGTTGATATTAAAAAAAAAAACTGCTGGTATGAATGATAAGGCATTTTACAGCTGTTTGAGGACATGCGATTATTACAATTTCCGAAGGATTTTTACAAGGTGTACAAAGAAATCGATGAAATTATAACTGATTGTTTGAGGGATTACTATTACAGTTATTCCTTGAATAATATTCGAAGCCTCGGATTTCTTGTTTTCAAACTTTGTAATTCAAAGTTGTAAATATTTATACTATGTTCGCTTTGATTCAACATAAATTCGTGACTAGCAACATCTTATTTCCAGTTATACTGTTACAATACAATAGTTGATTCTAAAAATGATTTTCAATAAGTCAATAAAACCAAAATCAAATCATTGTGCTAATGTTAAAGATGATGTCATTATGAGACTGTTGTTTTGGCTACGAAAATTAGTTTATTGAAAATAAAAAGTTGTATCATATTTATTCAGATCCATGCGAAAGGTGAAAGTATTTGCATGTTAATTTATTCGTAATTTGCATTAATGCTTTCTCGATATTAAAATATTGTAATTTTTGAATTAAATTATATAATCAAATTAAAAATAAGTATTATTATTTTTTTAAATCTCATTAAAATTTACAGTTATTAATTGGTATTGCTAATTATTTATCAATTATTGAAACATATTAATAAAGGGAGGTTTTAAACATATAATTTTCAATCATTATTTTATTAACGATTGATTCGTAGTTACAAATAAAACAAGTTATTAATTGAAGTGTTTCTTGTGTCAGTCTATTAATGGTAACCTTTTCTCTTTTTCTAGTGGTCTTGATCGGAGATTCAGGCGTCGGCAAGAGTAATCTACTTTCACGATTTACTAGGAATGAATTCAATTTGGAATCAAAATCGACCATAGGCGTGGAATTTGCAACCAGGAGTATACAGGTGGGATTCATTTTATAGACTTTATGTTGTTATTACTATTATTATAAATACATTAATTCACTGACTGAATGAAGCGGTGAACGTAAGAAGTAGGAACTGTGTGTAAGAAATGGGCATGCAAGAGAAGCGTATGGTAACAATGGAATTTGACCCACTTCCTTATGAAGCGTTTCTTCATTCTTTTAAAGCCGATTTGCATTTCGTCTAACTGTATTGACTATCGATTTGATTGCTCGTTTAATTAATTGCATCCAGTGCATTTTTTTAAATTTTTAATCATGCCAATTGAACCATTGAAACGCGCGACGTTTGTGGGTTGGGTTATGGTTTTCTGGCAGGATATTTTGGTTGGTGGGCGCACAAAACCGCGATTACCGTGCATTTAAATGTGTACGTACGTGTACCGTTAATGTTGCGAAGTCAATGTTTTGGTACGCAAAATATTACGTCACCTTCTTTTTATCGATTGACTTTTGCCTGTAACGTTTTAATTGATACGTTTGCATTTACGATTTAACCAATAAGCTTAATGAATTTCGTGCTGTAACTAAAATATGGTTCCAATTATTAATGTAAATTGAAGTTTTTAATATAATCATTATATATTTAGGCAATAAACTTAATAGAGTTTGAGCAGTAACTAATTAATTATTTATACGATAATTAAATTCTATTGAGGTTTTTAAAAATAATCTTTTTATTATATACGTGACCTTTTACATCATCGATCATAACAACATTTTTAACAAACGTCCAACTATCGATTTTCTTGCTCTACATTTTTCACAATCGTCATTACTTCTTTTTTTATTGTTTTGTATCTAAACCCAATTCATATTTTATGCATACTTGAGGCATGTTCTTAAAAACCAATTTAAAACGATCTAATCAACAGTATTCAAGTTCTTACTACCTAAAAATTCAATTTTTATTATTTCCATAGTTATTTCTTAAGAATTGAATCGATATTTTATATATTTTCGAGGTAGTTATTTATAAAACAATGTTCGTCATGTATATTTTTTTTACCTTCAAAGTTAAGGCCTTTATATTAAAATGAGTCAACAACAAATAATCGTAAATTTACATAAACCCAAGAATATTCCTTATCTAAAGCTTTAACATTCACGTTGAAAAACACGTTTGAAAACTTGACAAATGTTACACTTAAGATAAGTTTTATATTAAATATAACTTTTTCTTTAAGGACAAAATTATCAATCTTTAATTAATTATACCAAAAATAAAAACAATTAATAAACAAAAATATTAAAAATAATTATTAAAACAAGATTATATAAGTAATTACAAAAAAAATGGTATTTCATTGTATCATTTCAATATAATCGTCTATTTTTGATATAATTCTACAGATATTTTAATGGTAAGTTGTGATGTCTTCTTTATTATTCATACATATATTTGTACTATATAAAGTTTAACTGTAATATAAATACATATAAAACCACGGATTAAAAATTAACCGCAAATACAAGAAAAATAAATTATTACTATTTACCAAAAAAATACTTTTATACCAATATTTAAAACATCTATTATATCTACAGAATAAACAACCTAATTTTATTAATGTAGTACTTTAAATTCAAATTTTATTCTAAGGTCAATAATCTCTTGCTAATACAATTTACTATGATGATGATTATTATTACGTACACGTCCTGCTAAATCATTAAACAAGTTAAATTTTTAAATCAAATCATATTTCATTATGTAATTCCTGTTGGATTTTGTCTAGTTTTCTTATATTTTTGTATAGCACATGTATTCTTCCATATTAATGATATAAATACAGCTAATTGCTCTTGGCAGTTATGAAAATAGGATTAAAACCATTATTAATATAAGAAACACAACTCAAGATGTATACATTTGAACAAAACTTAAGAGGAATACATAATAAGCATTATTAGCCAAGTAATTTGCCACATGCATTCACTCAATTTTGTTGTACTATCAAGTTAGTTCATTAAGTATTTACCTCGTTTGACTAGTACAAGTAATTTATGTACATCCTGGGTAATTGATATGTTACTTGGCATGTAACGTGTTGTAAGTAATTGACTTATGATAATTTAATCAGAATTCAAGTTTATGAGTTTATACTTTCGTTTAGTATGAGTATATACGTAATTATCTATCAACAATAAATAAATTATATCATGATGTACTTGTTCCTACTTAAATTTGACTTCAAACATTTAAATATTGTAACTAATTAATGTGAAAGATTGAAATTGTTCTCGTTCTAAAAATACTTTCTAAGCAAATAGGTGCCAGGATTCCTTTCATTTTTCTCCCCCTTTCAAACGCATGCAAATGAAGGCACTGTTCATGAAACAGTATTCGCTTAATGGTTTTTGGAACGCGAAATATTCCGAGAAACAACGTCGGCAGTTTGCATGCGAATTAATATCGATCCGCTAATTGTTTTCTTTTTGTCCTCGAAGGTTGATGGTAAAACAATAAAAGCACAAATTTGGGATACGGCTGGTCAGGAGCGGTATCGTGCTATCACAGCCGCCTACTACAGAGGTGCAGTTGGTGCTCTTCTTGTCTACGACATTGCCAAGCATCTGACCTACGAGAACGTCGAACGTTGGTTACGCGAACTGCGCGACCATGCTGACCAGAACATCGTCATCATGTTGGTCGGCAACAAATCCGATTTGCGCCATCTGCGCGCGGTCCTCGCCGAAGAAGCCAAGGCCTTCGCTGAACGCAACGCTCTGAGTTTCATCGAGACTTCCGCGCTGGATTCAACCAACGTCGATAATGCTTTCCAGAACATACTCACAGGTAATTATAACCCATTGATACGTCCTCCAAAGACTTGTAACGCCAAACGTTTTGCTTTGTTATTGCAGAGATTTATAGAATCGTGTCGCAAAAGCAGATCAGGGACCCACCAGAGGGTGATGTTATCAGGCCCCAGAACGTGCAGCCCATAGACGTGAAGCCTACCATGACTTCAGACAATGTGCGTAAACAATGCTGCCAGTAACAGCAATAAACACAAAAGAGAAAACATACCAACACATGCGGTCAGGATGGTGTAAATACGTTTTATCGAAGGGGAGAAAGTATTTAAGTAACAAAAAAATAATATATATATATAATTGCTTAATTGCAGACAACCAGCCGTATATATATAATAAAAAAGAAATAATTTAAAAAAAGGTAATAGAAGTAGCGCTAAACTACACGAAACACTGTGTTTTATCGTTTATAATTCTGGATGTCCTTAAAAAAAAGTAATACTATATATAAAAAGAATAATGCAATATTGTGACTCAGCAGTGAACATTGAATTTAAGCCTCGTTTGTTATGTTCGTTGTTTTTTTTTATGGAATCGCTGCACATTTTTTAGTGAAACGCATTGTAACAATTTCGAACTGGTGGAAATTCATTTATCTTCGTCGAAAATAACGTAATAAGCTTTCAACTTCTCCGCTCATTTATCTTCCCCTTCATTTCTATTTTCTCCAAATCCATATTATATTTTTTTTTGTTTTACTATTTAGCAAATAAATAAATTGTATTTTTAATCGATTGTTTATATAAATTTGTATGGCTGTATTTGCGAAAAAAAAACATTTTTTTTATTCTGACAGTTATTAATGATGGAAATAAAATGTGTTATTAATTATTTTATATTTGTAGTAAATTCTAGTGAATGAAAGAATGTAGATACAACAATATGATTACTTATTTTTGTTATGGATGCTTTCAGAGATTATCGAGGAAAACAAGCGAAGTAATAAAACGTGAGAAATTTATTATTATTATTATTAATTAATATTATTATTATCAAAGGTATATTAAAATTATATTAAAGCGAAAAAAAAGTGAATAAAAAAAAAATATATAAATCATTGAGGGACTTTTGTAATTCTTTTGGAAATATATCGTCCGCGTTTCGTTTGTGCCGTTACATTTCAGAGGATTGCAGCTTAATGTAACATAAGCTTATTTGAAACTATAAATATATATATTTATGATTATAATTTAACTTTAATGATGAACAGTTCTGTTTTCTTTTCTGTAACTTATTTAACAATAGGATATATACATTTATAATTTTGTTGGAAATCAAAAGTACGGGAACGCCCACTAATCACCGGGCTCCGCCCATTTCACTCGACTAGGCTGAGCCATGTAAACTAGTTTAAACAATACTGGATAAATGTCATGTGTAAAATAGTTCAACTTAAATTTAATTAAACATTGAATTCCCATTTTATGAAACAATAAAGAAAAATACATTTTATGACCGAAATATTTACTATGTATCTCCTAATCCAATTGGATTATGTTGAAGATCTTCTTGACCTATCCGAAACTGCAACATGTGCAGGACTTTTCAAAGATACATCAATACTTGATCTTATACTGTTGTAGTTTAGTCTTTTTTTTCTGAAGGAATATGGAAAGGTCATACTTTTTAAAGTTATGTGTTTTTTTTAATACAAAAAAATATTTATTTCTATTAGTCACACATACATAATAATAATAACAATAATTTAATAACCACTTATTCACAACAGTTATTCTCAGCACTTGGGTTGCACGAATCCGTTGAGTTGAACAAGGATCTCCTTTTTCAAGTTCAGATCCTTCAAGTACGGCCCGAAGTGGAAGCAAATATTATATAAGCTTCGTCGTACCGCGCTCGTCACGCCCAATTTCATCCTGTAATTGAAATCATCCATGCCAGGACCTTTGCGGTTCAATGCTGGGACGCGATTCAACTTCTCCATGCTTTGCTTCAGCTCAACCAAGCAACTAATAATGACCGGCAAATCTTTCAGCACGATTCCATACTTGTCTTCCTTCAAGGAAGCAACGCTCAGACTAGACAAGCTCTGTGTAATCCACATTATAACTTGACCATCGCCCAGACACTTTTGAATACTGGCTTCCGGTAATTCGCCGAAGATGAAATTGATACCCAACTTCTCCTTAAGGATATCCATTTTCTTGTGCACATATTCCCTAAAATTCTCCATCTTATTTTCGACAGTTACATTCTGAACGGTAAACTCGCTGGGCTGCGCCATGTTCCTCAACTTTTCGAAATTAATAGTTTTATTGTGTAACATATGCTCGTTCACATGTTGATTTTTGGGAACCAAAATAGAACTTGTGGATTTATTCAGGAGCTCCGTGTAATCTCGCAGTATCTTCAACAGCTTTTCGATTAAATTGTTCCAGTTGTGCGGATGTCCGCCGGGTTGTGATAGAGTGAACAGCACTTCTCTACGTTCTTTGCGTAAACCGGAGACGACGAACAAGTCGTAACAAGCTAAATGTTGAACGATAGGCACGTTGGCGGAAATGCCATCTCCGAGGGTGAAATCTTCAGGGTTCATTGGCACGATGTTAAAATGCAATGGCTCCGTTAAAAACATCTCGTAGAAAAACGTCATGAGATTCAAATAGAAGAAAATCATAGTTCCAAAAACCCATGTAAACATATAAATGTACATGTTTCCTTCAGTCTTTTCAATTGATATCATCAAGGTGGAGCTAAACGCCATTTCCATTTTCTTTCCCAAAAAGAAATAGAAAATGACAAAGTAAATTATAGGATACATGGCTGAATTATTGCTTGTCTTCAATATTTGTGTAAAGTTAGCTTTGAACTGTAACCATTTCTTCTGCTGTGCCACTGGGAACATTATTTTCTTTTCGGATGTGTAAATGCTCAAGAAGTAATAACAACCAGTCCATGCTCCGAGTAAATAGAAGTAGAAACTGTTTTGTGACATGCAATTCAGTTTCCCATTGCAGGTGTCATCTTCATCTTTTGAGCGGAATGCTGAGAATAACCACACACATACAAACCCAACAATTACATGCAATACAAGTAGGAACAAATTATGCACAGAGAACATTTGCTTTGCTTTTTGGAATCTTGTTGAGCAGTATTTTGTATGGACAATATAATCCTTTGCACATATTAAACTTTGTGCAAAAATTATGATTGAGAATGGGACTATGTAGAGCCATGTGGTGAATGTTGCGAATGTATTGAAGACATTGTAAACAGCATCCAGTGGGGAAAAGATATTGAGTTGTAGGCAGAATATGTAAAGTATCAATATTATAAACTGAGATAGAACACTGCTGATCACTGCACAAGATAACTTCCTCAGTAAAATATTTTTGTAGTGTATGGAACTGGTATTCACTAGGTTAGGCTGCATTTTGCCTCCATATACTAAAGTTGCAACTTAATTTATATCTAAAAGAATGGTTAAGCATTAGAATTAGTTAAATATACCTATAAACTTAGACAATGAACTTACATTCTTGTTTGCAAAGCACAGCTGCAGAAAAAAATCTCACTTTAAGCAGTTAAAACTTTAAAATTTCTATAAGACTCAAAAGTGCTACCACTGTCCAAGAAATTAAAAGCAAATTTACTAAAAACATGAGATATGCAACTTTATGTTCACAATAGTATGAATATTTCATAATCATAACATTGGAAGCAATCTGGATTTCATTATGTAAAAAATATATATTCCAACTAAATTATATTTATTGAATACAAAATTTAGTTTTCTTGCATGCAAATTAAAATATATTGCACAAAATATTATTTACGACACTATAAATAATACATTACAATTAAACGTTAAGCACAAAACTTATTAAAAAAAATCTACATTCTATTCCAACATCAACAATTTCTCATCGTCAGCTCTTGGAGTGTAATACATCGCATCTAAGTAACAATTGGTGACTTCATCGACAATTGATCTGTCTGGAATACCTTGAGCATATCCATAAACAGCCATCTGCAAGTAAAATATTAGAAAATCATATATTGGTATATCATCAACAGTATACTTTTCCAATGACTGGTGCTGTTGGATCTTTCATAACTTCAATCACACCATTTTGAACATCGTTCAAGAAGGCATCGGCGACTCCAGGTTGAGTGTGAATATGAGTGACTCCAAGATGAATGCTACAAATTACATGAATTAACCATAACTCAAAAATTGGTAAATTTAATATTACCCTGAGGGGAATTGGAGGATATTCAAATTCCATCCTTTTTCAGACAAGTAAGTTTGAAGGCGATAAATGTCGAAAACAGTTGATCCAATTGCTACAACACTTGTAACGGGTTGTCCGAAAACATAGATGTGTTCAATGCGTCTCAATCTACAATTACAGTAACAATAGTAAAACAACATTGATTCATGTTTAAATTGTCTGACCCCTTTTCGATGTATTTAGTAGTATGCACTATGTCTCTGGTTGCTGCAACGTATCCTTCCTTTCCGAAGCTCAAAAGAGTTGCCCAGCAAGCAGCAATAGCTCCTCCAGCTCTTGAACCACTCACAGTTGGAGATCCGTATACGCCGCCTGGCCAATCGACGGTGGTTGTGTATTGGTGATGTAAATATCTAAGTGTAATGTTAGTATTATCCTACAAATTATTGTATAGACTTACTCCAGTTTCCTGTACATAATAACTGATGTACCCTTAGGAGCAAAACCGTACTTGTGAGTATCGGCTGAAATACTCATGACACCTGGCAATCTAAAATCGCAAGTGGGAATTGGATAACCGGCTTCGTCCATGAAGATGGTTAAGAAACCACCAAGGCAAGAATCAACGTGTACTGGTACATTGTATCTAACACCGAGTTCAGAAATAGATTCGATGTCATCCATGGTACCATAAGGGAAGTTTGGTGCAGAACCAAGCAACTGCAAGAATATACAATGAGCGATAACACTTATTTATTGTAATAGTTACCATGATTGTATTCCCTGAAATTGCCTTCCTCATTGCTTTAATGTCGACTTTAGTTGTGATTGGATCAACAGGTACATATTTAACTTTGATTCTCAAATAAAGAGAGGCCTTTGCGAACGCCGAGTGAGCAGTTATCGGTATAACCATTTCCGGTTTCTTAATACCTCGAACTTCTTTACCATAGTCCCTGTAAGCCTTGCAAGCCATGATAATCGATTCTGTTCCACCGCTAGTCATCTAAAATATACATATATTAAATATTAATTAATAAAAACAATTTTGACTATTTTGTACTTACAGTTCCACAAGTATTTTCATCACCATGGAAAAGATCAGATACCATTCTAATGACCTCAGCTTCCATCTTGCATATGCCTGGGAAAACATCTGGATGCAAAGGATTGGTATAAGAAGTTTTGGCATAAACTTCCTTGATCAAATCAACTAATTCTGCATTACTGTAATACACAGATCCAGATACCCTGCCCCCCTGCCAGTTGTAGCTTCCCAGATTCAAGTATTCATTAGTCACTTCCATAATCTCTTCCTTTGACATTTTCTTTTCTGGGAGCTGCATATAATAGTCCAAGTGTTTAGTCTTACTATACACATCCTTCCTAAATCCATTATTGATCCTCAAAATTTCATCATCCAGCTTTGCTTTAATGCTTGGGATCTTCTTCATGTATTTGAAGAAGGTCTTTTTGACACGAATGTAGAATGCTGTGAATGTAACTCATTAGATCTTGAATATTATTAAATTATAAATATACTTACATTCTTCATCATCAAAAATATAGTCATATAACCATCCAGTAAAAATACTTGCAGTTGTGGATAATATAAATATCCTTAAAAGTTGCCTGTCTCTGAATATATTACCATATAGGGTTTTAACTTGACCCAGAGGCACTAGCACTTGGTCCATCTTTTTTGGGTGTGGAGTATGATTAACAACTAATACTTTCTATATTGCTCCTGTGCTAATCAGTGTATCTAGGTGTTATCAATAAAATAGATTTGTCAATGACATAATAATGATTTATCTTATCACAATTTTTATTGTACTTTGAAATCGTTTGTTCCTCGACAAGGTTAGGTTTTATTATGTATTTTGAATATGAGTAGATTACCACACTTACACCTATATTGATCGTTGTATTCATACATATGGTTCATGACCAATTACCATGAAAACGTTATTTTAAATTCAGTTTTGCTAATAAAGTAGTACATTTACAAGAATATGAATTGTTTTTAAAATGAAACAATAAATTTTATGAAAACAGGAACAATATATTTAATATAATATAAAAAGGAAAGAAATAGCTCTTGTTGATAATACAAAAATGTGCAATACTCGAAAGCAGTGTATAAATAATAAAAGTAGAAAATGACAATACGTGGGACAATATTAATAAATATTACTTATAAATATCACTCGTCGGCCACTTTGGCCTTAATTTCTACTAAAATATCACCTAGCTTCTTGACGAACGCATAAAAATCCATTTCCTGTTCCAATTGGAACGTGAGCTTGTAGCAACCCTTATACAATTCAGCCAAACGAGCGGCGTCTTTGCTGAACGGAGGTTTCGTGAGGCACAGCTTGGTCATAGCTTTCAAAGTATGCTGCAGCCTAAGTTTCGCCAACACAACCAGTTCATCACAACCTTCGAAAACCTCAAGCTTCTTCTGCGGACGGAAATTGCTCACATCTTTCTCTGATACATCCACTTTTCTATTAACAATCATGAAACAAACTTCGCTAAGTTGAACGATGATTTTAATACAAGATTTGAGGACATTCAACTTTGGACCCGGTACACTAGTATCTAAAACATTGTTTTAATAACAACAATTAATTAATTGATCAGATTAACTTATACTCACTGTCTGCAATGTATTCGTTAAGCGCAAAAAGTTGCATCTGAGAAGTCAAGTAGTTAATCGGATCCATAGATTGCAAATATAATTCCGAAGCCTTTTGGTAATTGAGCTTCGACAAGTGAGCTAAGGTTTTCCGATGACCATCGTTTTCTTCATTAAACATATTCTTATGGTAAATTCCGGCGTAACGGTAATATATAGTGGCGGCTCGATACTGATATAAGGGAAATTTGGGATTAGACTCATCTAAATCACAGCTATTTAGAGCTTTCGATAGCGTTTCGAGGACTTCTTTTTCTGATTTTACAATGTTCTAGAAATAAATTGATTAATAATCTCTAGGAGTTATTACAATATACTTACTTCTTTGGATGGATTTTCGTGCAGTATTGTAGCCATGGTGAAGATTGCTGTTGACATCTCCCATTTAACCGCGTCCCAAATTGCGGGACAATGGCTTCTGTGTGCAATCACACTGAGCGCTTTCTTATAGCTGACAAATGATTTGTTATAATGATAACGTTCCATAGAAGTCAATTCACCTCTTCCACTTGGGCTATGAGCATACGCCAATAATCTATGCAAATGACCGGTATTCGTGAAAACTAATGCAGCATTCGCTTCATCTTTAACGGTTTCAAAGATTTCTGTAGCGCGTTTTAGATGAGGTTCCGATTTTTTGCAATACTCGATCATCGTTGCACCGTCCTGGAACATCTTGGCTTTATTCAAATAAAATGCTCCCGTCTCGTTCAGACTGTTTCCTAAACGTCTTAGTATACTTTCAGGATGCTTTATCTTCTTCAAAGCCTCATCGTAACACTCGATGGCTTTCAGCAACATCTGCTCGATCGTTCGAATATCGTAAATTAAGACACATTTCATGTTCGATTCTGCCAACTGGATAACGTATAGCTGTTCATCCTTTTCGAGTTGCTGCAGCATCTTCAAATCTTCATCCATGTGCGTGTGAAATTGATTGCGGTAATTTTCACAACCCTCCCATCTCTGCACCATCATTACGCAACAATCACCAGCCCTGCCCAGCAAGCAGTTCTCCTCTAAAGTGCATATTGAATATTTAAGTTTCTTCATTATAAGTAGGCATCGCACCAATAGTCCTAAATATCTTAAGCTATGTCCGTAATTTTTATTGATGTAGTGATGTTCCGATAGGATAGCATAAATTAATACGCATTTCTCGTAAAGCAACGTTTTCAAATGCTCTTTCCAAGTGATGTTCGTTTTGGATAGCTCTTGCCAGGCCGGTAGAGCTTCTGTCGTACTCTTGGGCAAAAGAGCGCTTGGCTGATTATCCGCTTCAGCTGATTTCTTTTTCAGCTTATCTTTTTTCTTGCCCTTTTTCTTTGTAGCTTCAGGTTGTTTTTCATTATAGGGCATCGGTATTGGTTCCGTAGATTTTGCCATTGGAATGTTATCTTCTTCTTTGATTTTTTCCTCGTTGCGGAAATACTGCAGGCAATTCAATCCCGAAGCCACGTGGTTCAATGCTTGCAAGCAACGTTCTTCTACTGTCCCCGAAATCGGCGGAGGTTGCTTATAATTATTGTTAAATTTCTTATCTTTGTCTGAATTTAAAACGAGAAACTTCAGCGGATCTTCGTCACATTCTAAATCATCATCATCGTAAACCTCTTCGGCATTATCTTTATTAGTTTCATTTTCCAACTGCGGATTATCGGGATTCGTATTCGCTGGAATGTAAAGATCGGCAAGCATGTAATGCGAAGAAGTCACAATTTCAGGATACTTTTCTTCCGATAAAAGTTTCAAGCAATTTTTTAATAAGATTCTGATAGTTCCAGGTTGTCTGCTATCGACTTGTGTGTGCTTCATGTTACGGGCTACTCTGTAAAGAAGCATAGCAACTGGTACAGTAAACGGATTTTGATCATTGTCTTCTTCATCGTCGGAACAAAGAGATGTCAAATCATACAATTTCACCACTTCTTCATCTTTGCCTTTAAATAACCAATACGTATGGCCAGCCTTTGTAGCATTTGATTTTAAAAATGATAAAATACTCTGAGCTACATCCCTTATGAGTTTAGGGGAAAATTTCGAATCCTGCATACTTGGCAAATCCTCTGTCTTGACCAATTCATATTTCTGGACTATACCATTTAAATGGTAACACATCACAACTTCTGGTACATTTGACATCAAATTATCCAGCCAGTAATCAATACCAGTCAATACATTTATAGGTTTATTCATATCTCTCAATCTAAGTGAAATACATGGATGTGTGCCTCCACCAAAAATTGGCAAATCTGTGCCAATTAACATCTCAATATCTTCAAAAGTCCATACAACATTTCTATTATATTTGTGATCAAAGGAAGTAGGATCTGGCACTTCCTCATCTGGTGAAGGTTCTGGTAGTAAAGGTCCCTCAACTTGCAAACTGCTATTATTCAAACGTCCATGACCTTCCTCCAACATATCAGATTCATTTTGACCCAAACTGTAATACAAGAATTTTGAGACCAAATGCTTTTGCTTTAAAGATTTCAGCTTCTTTTCTTTAAGAAACAGTAATCTCTCTTCATCTACTATTCCACTCTCAACGTTTTCACAGAAGAACTTTCTTAACCACTCCCACTCATTTTTAGCAGTCCTCAACAGATGTTTATAGATATCAAAATCATCAAGCAGAAGGGTATTTTCAACTCTATGTACCATCATGCTTATGTGTCCTTTACTGTAGGGTATTTTTAAGAGATTCTTGATATTCTCAGCATCAGACACAACATCAACTTCACCAACACAGTCTGGAAACATGTGGGCCATACGAAAACTATAAAATTTAAAGTTACATGTATTAGTAAATTCATTAATTATAAGTTTAAGCAAACCTTGAAAATTCCTTATGCTTGTAATGTACATGCTGGAGTCCATAGGACTCAGCAGAATTGCTCAACCAATTTGAAGGTGGTAGATTTAGATCTGTATTGCTTTGTAACTTTAGATAGTTTGGTGGCTTTGGTACAGAATACATCACCACAGCTGTTGATTTTATGTCGTCCAAGGGCTTAGAAGGCCCTGGCTTTGGGTTACCCACATCCATAGCAAAAGACTACTTTCAACTTGTTATTCTAGGTTAGGTAATATGTAATATTATTACCCAGTGTTCTGGAACTTTATTCATAGAATATTCTGGAACGTCAAAATAACATTCTAGAAAAAATCTTCATAAGTATTATCTACTACATTGAAACCCGTACGATACCCATAAGCGATACATACATTAAATTCAATTTTTCAAATTTGCACTACAAATCAAGTATTGTAACAAGCTAGGCAACCACATTCATCAATGTGTATAAATGCATATTAAATTAACAGTATATGAATTACTAACTATATGTTTTAATGATCTATTAACTTTTACTGAGTCAGTGATATTTATAATCCAGTCATTTGAGACAACCCAATAATAGGCAACCAAATTTACAACTATAATTTTAAATACAGGTATTCTCCGACTTACGAACTAGTTCCGTTCCAAAGGGTTGTTCGTAAGTCGGGGGAATTTTTTTAAACATATACTTATCTTACCACATTTTATCATGGTTTTTACTTTTATATATGTTAAATTCCATATTACTGACTGCATAAATTTGAAAAAAAATAGATTAAAATAAGCTAAATACTTACAAATACTTTTCAATGTAGACGTGATAATTATTTAATAAAAAACGACAAAATAAACAAATGCAAAAAAACAGATAAAACATATTCCAAAATTATTAAATTTTCTTAAATAAATTATCAATTACTGTTTGGACAGTTATTTTTTATTATTATATATCTCCTTGTTAGAGCTTTAAGAATTTTGTTCGTAAGTCCGGGAGTTTGTAAGTCGGGGGATACCTGTATTGAAGTTATATTCTAAAAATTATTTAAAATTTCTTACATAATGTATGGTTGAAGTAGTTATTACTAATTTAAAAATTAATAATACTAATAATATTTATTGCAACAATTATATAAATTACATTGTATATTGATGGTAGGTATTTTCGACTTATGTAACAAAATTATATAAGCAGATAAATATATCACAATTGTACGTTGCTAATAAATTTATGGTTTATATAATAATTATTTAATGGAACTGTTGTATAACTTCTTAAAGAGATGAATAAATTTACATGAAATAGTAAATATCCTGTGCTCTTGAAATATTCCTTATCAAAAGGAATTTTTCAATTGAACAAATTTACTCAAGGAAAGATTACCGTCTAAATATTTAAATGAATCCTATCAAATGTAAATTCAAGATGCAGTTCGTGCAATAACAGCATCGAGACAAGACTACAAGCCAGGAGATGCTGATTACCATAATTGTATCATCCATAATAATATCCGCATTTAGCAATGCTAACGAGACATATTCAATTCACATCGATTACTCGTCATCGGAGGCAAAAATTGAGCCGTTCTGGCAAAGCACAGGATTCTCGTAAGCTGATAGGACTACTTTCCGTTATTACTCTTTTCTTACTAAATCAACATTTTTAGCCCTCCTAAGGGAGAAGTTGACACATATTTATTATCGCAGGACTCTAAAACCAATATTGCCATCATTGGCGCCTTACCAAATCGAGGGATCAAACAAATTCGGGTTCATTGGTTGTTAGATCTTATCAAGTCTATATCGTTATACCATCTGTGTCCGTTTCGATTTACTTGAATGGGTTTTAGGACTGACAACTCGGACTTCAATTACGTAAATTTGGATCTCGTTTTGGATTGGATGCATTTTCAAAGTTTATCACCAAGGTTTGAGCTCATGGGCTTTCCGAATAACTTGTTCAGTAAAAATGTTAAGAACGTAACTACATTTTGGTCTCATTTCACCGAGACAACTGTTAAGAGATATATTGGTAATAACACATTTTTAAGATGTTTTAATCTTGAAGCTATGTTGTTTTCTTTTAGATAGATATGGCTTAAATATTGTAGAAAAATGGAGTTTCGAAACATGGAACGAACCCGACTTGAAAATGTATAATATTTTAAATTATACGTTGAATGGTGAGTTATTTATTATAGAATTATTCATCAGTGTTCACTTATGAAGTGATTACTTATATGGTTCAAATATTTGCTGACCTTGTTATTCTTTTGATTATAAAAGCTATGGATTTTACGTAATGTATTCTATCAAGTATTTTGATTTCAGAGTACAAATCCTACGTATTTGGTTGTAGAAAGGGCTTGGATAAAGCTGTAAAGAAGAATGACAGCGTGCTGAGATTGGGCGGTCCGGCAGGTGTATTCAAGGACTTCGTGCATCATCCCTTGTGCTGGGGGTTGCTAGAGATGTGCAACTCAATCAGGGACTGTCCTTTGCAATACATTTCGTTCCACAAGAAGGGAGATGGATCGGCCGGACGGTTGGTCTCCAAGGACCTTCAGTTTCTCGATCACTTCCATGAAACGTATCCGAATCTGAAGCACATCCCGATAGCGAACGAGTAAATTCATTACATTCTTATTGTCCTCGTACATATTTTTTGTTATATACAACCAGTTTTTGGTGGTAGTCATCTTATTATTGCATTCTTAAAAAAAGAATATTCGAGGGGATTTGAGTCTCTTTATTAAAAAAAAATCACTTTGTTTCGCAGCGAAGCGGATATTTTAACAAACTGGTCATTGGAGGAGGAATGGCGGGCGGATGCCAAATATGCAGCTTTGGTAGCTAGAGTTATAATTGAACATTACAGGGAAGTTATTCAGAAAAGAGGAATTGCTATTGAAATACTTAGCAACGACAATGGTTTTATGAATTACAATCCGCATTTTTTTACGCAACGCACATTATTAGCAAGGTAATATATATTTTCTTCAATTGTAACTTTGTTTTTAAGCATTTTTGTATTCAGGTTTCAGATGAATAACACGATTCCACCTCATACGCAATTTTTCTTCAAGCCCGTTTACTCCGTTATGGGATTGTTGTCCTATTTAAAAGGGCATTCGGTTGCCATCAACAAGACGTCGCCTCTAATAAATGCTATAGCGTCGCGTACTCGCCGAACTTTTTCCGCTCTGGTCGTCTACTCCAACGAGACCGAAGCTGACTTTTCCGATACAACAATTCGCATTACTCTGAAGAACCTTTCAGTGAACTGTAAATACGTCATTTATACCATCAACAATTTAGAGACGAATCCGTATTCCGTATGGAACGCGGCCGGAGCTCCGGTCTACCCCGATACAGATCTTCGTTGGAAAATGCGTAGTCAACAGGTGACGATCAATGATTTGGATGTAGAATGAGAGTGTTAAAAGCATTGTTTCAGCTGCCTTTCAGGGTCTTGGGTCCGGACAGCGCGAATTCCACCAATCTTGAAATAGTTTTAAACATTACAATGCCTTCAGTCTATTTGATTCACGCTTGTAATTCTAGTATCAAAGCGCCTGGACCGACAACCCATCTCCAGGTGAGGATGGTGCAGGATAACGAAGTTCTTCTAATTTGGAAAGACGACAGAGTTAAATCTAGGTATAAACGAGAGATTTTATTTATACGTGCAATTTCTATTTTATATGTCACATGGATGCGGCTGTTTGTTTAATTGCAGATGCATCAAGACTTATGTTGTCGAGTTCTGTGCCGGCAGCGAATACACCAGGATTAATGAGATGGATGTTATATTTCTCTCGTATCAGTACGAGCTGCCAGGAGATGTAGGTGAGGGCGATGTAATGCAAGGGTTGTATACGCGTTGTAAAGGCTTGTAAAGCAGAAGTCCGGTGGCTGTGCTGTTGGGTGTATGTGCATTTTCGGGGTGGGCGAAGGGCTGGTACTGAATTAATTACTCTGTCCGCAACACAGTTTGGGAGCGACAGATACTTATCAACGAGTCCCTCTACGTAACCCAGTTTTCAGATTCTCCAAACTGAAAAGAAGCATACTCCGTTTACCATCAGCGAAACCTTTCCACCATCCGTTAATCTGCAATCCTCCGAAGCATTCGAACTCCAACAATGATAAATTACACATTACGCGACCCGCTCGACTGAAAATGCAGCATGCGTCCTTAATAACTATCTATATATTCGGGATGGATCATTTGCCATCAGATTGATTGCGGCGTTCGCCCGATTTAACCGTCGCTGAAAAACTTTTGCGGCTCCCATCGTGAAAAACGCCGCCGCCACATTATTACACTTGCGCTCCGCAACTCTTCGTAATTATTTCACCGAACTAAAACCGTCCCTGTATTTAGCTCACTAATCCGGCCTTCAGGAAATTAACGGAGCCGGCCGCTAATGACCGCAAAAAAGGATATATAATCAATTTCTTTATTTCCAGGATTGCGCGGATGGTTTCGGGTGAAAGCCGTCGATTACTGGAACAGGAGCGGCCCTTACTCGGACCCCGTTTATTATCAGGAATAAAATTGCATTCACATGCGATTCTTTCAGTGCTTTTTAGTTATTTTTTGCTTAATGACAACACAAAATGTTCAATCAATTAATACAATGGAAATGTAGATAATGTAAATAGCCATAATAAAATAGATAAATATGAATTCGTTTTATTAAGAAAGTAAACTCTTAAACATTATACATTTGATCTAATTGAAATGTATCACCGTTAATACATTTAGACAAGACAATTCAAAGTCAAGTTTAATAGAAATACAAATGTAAATTTAACTATTTTACCATTGACCTATATTTATATTATGTAATTGTATCAAACAATGTTCATAATAAATACTAATATTACGACATTGTAATATATTATAATTTTTCATTCAAAAATATTACTGGTGCATTAACACTGATTTTAGAAACAAATTATGAAATATATGAACATAATTATTATATTATAATATGTAAATATTCGAATAAGAATGTATAAATTTAGAAATAAAGAAGAACTACGTGAAATAATTTCTAATACACTTTACATAATTGTTATAAATTAAAAAATATATTTACAAGTTGGAAGCAAATGAATTCACTTTTGTTACAATATAAAAGTTCATATTTAAAAAAAAAATATAAAGTGAGTGCATTACCTATTAAAACGAACGAGAAGTTATTAGGAAGTCCGGTTTAGTATGAATCCATGTGCATTATGTGTGTAATTAATTCAGCTAGGAGGTAAGGGAGGTCGACATTAATGGGTCCGGAATTTATGAAAGTAAATTATTTTGGTCCGGTCTTGCGAATAAATTCCATCTCGGCATTCATAATTCGATTTCGAGGGTACGGCCATACGAAGTGGTATGAGAAAACGGGGGTGGCAGTATGTGTGTGTGTATGTACCTGACCTGGAATTGGGCCAACATCGCCAACATCGCCGCCTCCGCAGTAACACCAGAACCGAAGCTGTAGTCTCGACAAACAAGGCAACTTCGGTGGCAGCAAAATAAATGTTACAGATAGATACATCGGCTCTTGTTAAAATGTACAATAGGTCGGCCACAGTAAATTTGCCGCCGCTGCCGCCGTCCGTCTATAAACTTCGAAATCCAGTCCAGTCTCTGCCTCCGTCGCTGCTGCTGTTGCTGCTCAGCTCCTCACTGCCGAGACTCGACGTCTCACTCAATCTATGTTATTTATCTTCGAAGGATCCATCCTTTGCCAACCTCCGCTCTTTCCACCTCCATCTCCTCTTCTTTTTTATTTTGGGTGTTTTTCTTCCGGATCCGCCATCGCCAGGACGAGCATACACACACACAATATCCTACCGCATAGGATCAGGGCAAAAACAACATACCTTCTTGTTACGATCCGTTCTGTTGACTGCCGCAAGAAAACCTAAACGAATTAATTACAATTGATGACTTGCCTCGACTCCACCGTACAAGATAAACTAGTTGTTCAGTTCACGAATTGTTTGTTTCGCTTATACACTTTTCAAGTGCTTAACTCAATGAACAATGTTTTTAGTTATTCAAAGACAATGTTTACATTTAGCAACAACAGCCAATTTAATAATTTTTTCTTAAGTCTGTTTCGTAATGTGGAGATTTCATGAATATCTGATACCCAAATCCGATAGAGCTTAGGGAAATCACTAAAAACTGGGTAGATCTTGCTGTTAAGAAAGGATACTGTATGATAATATAAAAAGTAACTTATTAAAGCCAAATCTGTCAATTATTTTTTAATTTGACTTAATACTTTTGGACTATTTATTACAAACTCTAAATTAATTATATTGTGAAGATTTTATGAATATAAGAGGTGGTTAGGAAAATATATAGTTTTGGGTACATCTTGGAGTAAAAAAGGATATTATATGAAAATAAAAAGTAAGAAGTTAAGTATGTTTATAAAACTACATTATTAAAGTCAAATTGACTTATTAACTCTCTTTTTAAATCTTAATTTAAAGCAGGTAATTTCATGAAAGGTTTTACAAAGACTACTTCTAAATACTTATTAATGCCTTACTAGTTTGAGGAGTAAGGCACGGTTTTGAGAAGACGCTCCGATTCAGATTACTGTTCTCCGTGGGATCTGTCTTTTCTGCAGTTTGGTTATCAGTTGAAAATAGGAAGAAACGTTACAAACGGTCACTGCCTTCCGTGGGATTTGTCTATTCTGCATATTGGTCTTATAGTTGATTGTCCTTAATGGTTGGACACAACAACTAGCTTGTTAAGTACTAATACTTAGCCTAATCTTGCTATGTTAGCTAACTAACTTGCGGTTTTGGAACATTGAAATATGAAATTGTATATTTCAATTTAAATGATGTAATTATGAAAAAGGTTCATACAATTAAATTACATAAATATATCTGAAATAAACATGATTAGGTTTTCATCACATTAAAAAATATTTGCAAATGGTCTATAGGTTTTGCATCTGTTGGGAATGCGGATCGGTGAAACCTCGAAGGTCTATCTCGCGGGATTTCAGAATAAACATCATATGGTGTTTGGCTATAATTTTATATTTAAATTTACATAACAAATATTTGATGAATTCTAATATTTACTCGATTCTTGTGCCGAGTTCCACCCGAAGAACGAATCCGATATTGAGTTTGCTCGATACACTTCAATTCTGTTCCTTTTCTCTATTTTTTTTTAAATTCAGCAAATACGATGTAGATTTTTATCCCAATATTATTAAAACATATTTGGTATAGATTTTAATATTTCTTCTAATGTTTGCTATTCCTTAACTTTATAAATAAATTGATTTATTGTAAATTACAAAATTGGAAATGATGATCCAATGCTTGTCTGTAAATTTACTGTTAAAACCATTTTTCCATTGAAAATTCGTTTCTATCTTACAAGAATTAACATTTTTCTTAAGTTACTGTAATTTATGCATGATTATTATACATGATTGTCATTATTCTTAATTAAATGTCCTCTTCAGAATATGTCAAAAAATGATATGCCTATCAATTATAAAATCATAATTGAAAAGCAAACTATTTCTTGGATTATTAGAAGTAAATCATTAGAAGTACAAAAGTAAATCTTGAGTAATAATACATAAAATAATTATATTATTTTTGTTAATTTATTTTGAATGAATGAAAAATTTACATATGTTAATAAATTTAATTAAAATTCCTACCGTAACTGAATAGACGGAATGTACGAAATGCGTTTTGTGAACAAATAAATGTGGTTTAGCCTGTGCGCAATAATTATTTAATTTAAATGAAAAATATTTCCTATTTTTTAAGCAGACCAACAAAAAAAAGTGGTTCAGCTTAATTAATTGAATTATTTTTGACAATTTTCAATTTTTCAGTAAATTTGGTATTCTTTAAATCTGAACACTTGTTCCTTAAATGTAGTGTTAAAAATATTTTGGTTACATAATCAGGTAGTAATTAAAATGGTATTTAAACAAAATATAAACTTAATATTATTTTATGATACAAGTGACATTAAAATATTAGATTAGTTGTGTAATTTATCAGTTTTCTTATATTCTGGTGTTTGTTTTAATTTAAATTTTGTATCTTTGGAAGATGCATGAGCAGAGATGATGTATCTGTTGCTAGGTATCAGGTTGGGAAGTAAGAATGAATTGTCGGAGGGTGGATGTAATGAGGGCAATTACGGGGTTGTAAGCTGTGCAATATATTTTTTTGCCGGCTCTGATGGATGTATGCAAATGTGGGCAATTAAAAGTGAAGTGGGTTTCCGGTGTCGGCAGAGGGCGGGCGTTGTCGGCTTGTGTGCGTGTGGGAATTTAGACCCTCATTAAATTATCACGCGTCTTCGCGGCTGACTGCCACATTAACCCCACCGAAGGAAAATCGAGACGTCGTAGAGCCCTTATGGACTGCTGTAAAGGTTCCGACTCCCATCTGCCCTTCCTTTTAAGGGCGCGCAAATTTGAATTGATGCTGCAACAGAGCAAAACTTTCATTCAGACATTGCAATCGTTAACATGCACCGTACCAAGATGTTTCTCTCCTCCGAGAGATCATATTTGATGTTTTCGTTACGACTGCATGGGATGACTTTAAGATGGTATACACAGGACTGGATTATTTGAACTCTCCATCCTGCAGATGCGAACGATCTCAGCGGATGCAGTGAAAGCATTCATATGTTATGCATCCTTACTCCAAACACCTGATATCAGACAGCTCTCCCCGAATACACAGAAATTCAATTCGCGAATAGGAAAACATGTGCTCTCGCACCCTTCGTGCTCTTTCACCATTTACCGCTAAATTAAATCCGCTCCTTCAGGAAATCTGAATAAAAAAAGAAATCTGTTGCTATAGAAAATGTACAACAATTCTCTGCAAATATTACATTCTCAAATTCTTACAAAACTTTTTACAAACAAAATAACTTTTTTAAGGATTAAAAAATTCCTAAATTGAATGATATCAGACTTTTCACTCTATAGCCTTTCGTTCGAGATTAATGCCAATAAAAATTGCAAATTAAATTAAATATTTTTTTTTGTAAAAAAACAGTTTTAAATTATTTTAAAATTTTTGCTAATCTATTTGTTTTTTTTAGTATTTAGTAATTTGAGAAATCGGTTTTAGAATTTGGGAAACCAATTATTGCATTTAAAAAAAAATAACTAAAATTTAAATTCAATAAACCTTAGGATTTTTGTAATTCTTTACAACAATTTTCTTCAAAATATGTATTCTTTATTATTACCAGGTATCAATAAGTTATTTTAGTATTTAGTAATTTGAGAAACCGATTTTTGAATTATTACACAAACATATTTAAAACAAATTATTCCAAAAAACCTTAAGTTTTATAAGAGCCTGTATTTATTTTATTACCAAAATTAAATATTTCAAACAGAACAAAACTACAATACGTACAAATTTTTACGAAGTTCTTCTTTTCCCTCAAATATTGAAAATTCGATCTTTAATCTTCAGCTTGATTATATCTTTCGTTTCTGGCAATATGTTTTTACCCGGAGAGATTTCAAGTAAATCATGTTAAGATTTTCAAATATTCTTATTCATTATAGACGGATTTCCGCCTCTTCATTTAATGGGACATCAAATCCTGAAGGATCCAGCAAAATTAGAATTCATCAAAATTTAAATATGATTTGGG